GCGTTCAAGGGGCACAAGAAGATTACCAGTCTTGCCGCATATCCGCTCAAGTACCACAAGGATGCCAAGGTATGTTCGATTGTCAGTTTGAGGCTGGAATGAATGGGTGCTAACAGAGGAGCGCAGGGTATCAAGAAGCAGCTGATTGAGCGGGGCAAGAAATTTGTCGCACTTCAGGGCATGAACTACCGGGTCCAGAAGGGGATTGCTTATATGAAGCACAAGAACAGCATCGTGCGCTTCATTGTTAATGGTCGGGTCATGATTGATCCTGCCATGTTCCGCCGCATGAATCCAAACTACCCGCTCTCATACCTCCGGCCAGATGAGCTAGCTGACAATGAGGACGACGATGAGGACGACGATGACGAAGAATGCTGCTGCGACTCCAGTGAAGATGAAGATGATGAAGAAAAGGAAAAAATGCGCATCGTCATGTGGAAGGACAAGAGGGGCAGGAAACACCCTATCCGAGTACCACAGAGTGTCGTGGACAAGGAAATGGGTACCGGTACTGAACAGGCGCTCGACAGGGATGATGATACGACGGAGGAGCAGCGCCAGGTACTGACTGAAGAGGAGCTCATCATTGCATCGCCGGTCGTGCTGGGCTTTGCCTTTTCCGAGAAGCTTTGGCTCGAATTTTCTCTATCTGGGATTGAGGAAATCAAGTGGAACGAGGAAGCATTTTCCAGTCTGGTGCTGCCGAGTCAGATCAAGCAGAATCTCAAGGGCCTGGTGTCTTCGCATCGGTTCCACGCAGCCAAGACGATTGACGACGTGATCCAGGGCAAGGGCAAGGGCCTCAATGTGGTGCTGCATGGCCCGCCCGGGGTGGGTAAGACACTGACTGGAGAATCAATTGCCGAGTATTTGCAATGCCCTTTGTACGCAGTGTCTGCAGGGGAGCTGGGGACCAACAGCCGGGCGTTGGAGGCGGACTTGAACCGCATCATGGAGATTACGCATTCATGGGGCGCCATCCTGCTGCTGGACGAGGCGGACGTGTTTCTTGAGGCGCGGCAGCCAAACGACCTGCATCGCAACTCGCTGGTTTCGGTGTTCCTGCGGCTGACCGAGTACTACCAGGGCATCCTGTTCCTGACGACGAACAGGGTCGAGACTTTTGACGAGGCGTTCCAGTCGAGGATTCACATGGGGATTCGGTATGAAGAGCTGTCTGCACGGGCCAGGAGGGAGATCTGGCAGCAGCATGTGGGCAGGGTGGAGAGGATGAAGGGGAGCCAGGGAATGAAGGCGTTCACCGAGGCCGACTTTGACGTGCTGAGCCAGCGGGTGCTGAATGGGCGACAGGTACGTGGCGTGATGGGCGAGTTGGTGAAGGGCGTGATGAGTGTTAATTGTTTTTTGCGCAGATCAAGAACACGGTCAAGACATCGCAGGCGATTGCGGTGGCAGAGCAGAGTGCGTTTAGCATGGAGCACGTCAAGCGGGTGTTGGAGGCTGGGGAGGCATTTGACGATGATATGCGAGGGGGGAAGGGGTACCGGGATGCGATGCGGCAGTACACGTGAGGTGGTGGTGATGATGATGACGCCGATGATGTATGTGTGTAGTATGCAATGGGAGTGAGTAGCAGCCATAGCGTGTTAGCATGTAGGAGGATGCGATGCATGCACATGTTCAGGCCCGCCAAGCGAGTGGCTGGCCCCGAGTCTCCACCACGGGGCGTGCCAGCCGTTGTCTTGTGGCGGCTGGCATATCTGGGGAGCGACGAAGGACGAAAACACACTCGTGGAAACAACAACAACCGCCAGCCCTATCTTATTCCCGTGCGCCCCGTCGCCCACTCAGACACGAATCCGACATCCACACCCGCGTCACTCTGCCAGCTGCTGGCACTGGAGCCCGCTCTCGGGCCACGCCGTCCGCCGTGCTGCACAATGAAGCGCGACGATGACAACGACGGCACCATCACCATCACCAACGCCGACACCACCACCACCACCAACACCAACAGCGACGGCACCTCGCAGCCATCCTCGGCCAGCCCGGCGGCCTCGTCTGCCACCCACGGCCATGCGCCGGCCAAGAAAAAGCAGAAGCGCAACAAGCCCACGCTCAGCTGCGAAGAGTGCGTCGAGCGCAAGACAAAGGTGAGCGGCCAGCAACCACGGCCGTCTCTTCGGCGCAATTCGCCCCCCTCCCCCCACGAACACCACCACCACCTCCACCTCCATCACCTCCACATTCCCACTCTCCCGCTTCCATCCATTGCCATGCTCGCCACTCACCCATTCCAAGGCTGACGGTATCCGCAGTGCGACCGCACCAGACCCCATTGCTTGGCCTGCATCAAACGCCAGTCGCCCTGCCGCTACTCAGACATTGCCAACCTGATTGCTTCTTCTGCCGACAAGTATGTACCTATTTGCCCGTTGACTTGTCCACCCCACGCCTGCTAAGCATCTGCGCAGAGTTGGCGCCGCGCAACATGCCACGCCTCGCTCCAGGAAGACGGTCACCAAACATCCACTGCGACTTGGCAAGGACCCGCATCCCCATGCCAAGTCTATCCAGGTGCCCCCAACGCCCCTCCGGACCCAGTATCGCAGTGTGTCCTTGTCGTCATCAGGCTCGTCGCCGTTTTTGCTCTCAAACATCCCCTACTCTAACCACACGCCTGCCCCCTTCTTTGGCCTCGGCTCAGAGCATCCCTTTGCCAACTACTGGACCAGCCGTGGCGGCCTGGCAGAGGTAGTCGGCGTCCTGCCCGCAAAGGAGCAGGCCGACATCCTCGTCGACAAGTACTTTGATGCCGTCGACCCCGTCTATCCCATGGTCCACCGCAGGAACTTCTATGCCGACTATGAACGCTTCTGGTCCCTGCCCCTCGACGACAAGCATGCCGCCGACCCCGTCCTCGTCGCCCTTCACTTTGTCGTCTATGCCATGGGCACTCAGTTCATCCACACGACTGACAACCGTGAGCGCGCTCAGATCGCAGAGTTCTACATCTCAGCAGCTCAACAGGCCCTGCGCATATCCTCGTATCTCAGCCGTGCCTCGGTCAGGACGTTGCAGGCCATGGTCCTGATCGGCTACTTCTTGATGAACGACAACCATGCTTCAGATGCATGGGCCTTTGGTGGTGTCTTGGTACGACAAGCTTATGCCATGGGCCTCCACCGTGATCCGGATATCATTGCCCCTCGTTGCTCTCGAAGTGACAAGCAACAGCGTCGCAAGCTATGGCAGGCCATATTCTTCCAAGACACTTTCCTTACCGTCCTCCTCAAGCTCCCACCAACCACAGTCTTTTCAGACATACAGCCCCAGTCACTGAGCGATGACCTGGACGACTACATCCCAAATGCCTCGTCAGCCAATGGCGCCACCGATGCCGTCATCAATCCCATGAGCATCAGCAACATTGCCTCCAACTTGGATCTCTATCCTCCCTATGAGCTCTCGGACCGACGATACATCCGCTCAATGTGGCACATGGCCATTTTGGTCTCACGCACCGTCTGCATTCCACGCTCGCTGGCAACTCCCCTTACTACGTCCGTCGCCCAAAAGACGGAGCTGGTCAGCGAATACTTTGCCCTGCACAGCACGTTTCCCGTCGAGCTCACAGCATCCGACGATGCTACAATACGAGCCATGGCCGAACAAAACCCGAGAGGTCTGAGGCAAAATCTCTTTTTCCGGAGCAACTTTTGGCACTGCGTCATGGCTATCCAAGCGGACGAGAACCCCGCTGAGGGTGTATCGTGTGACGTCAAGGGTGCCCTCGACGCTGCCAGAATGGCTCTGCAGTCCTTCTTCCACTTTTGGGAATATCTCAGAATCGATGCAAGTGTCTGGTGGGTTTTCCAGCACCGCGCTTTCGAGGAAGCAGTACGTATTGCACCCATTATCAATTTCCGGCTCCACTTCGTTGCTGACTATGGCGCTTAGCTTCTCATGGCTCGTATCCTGGGTCAACAAGCCCAACCGCTTTCGCCAACCCAATCAGGCTTGCCTCCTTCGTCGGATCCCCTGCTTAAAGATGCAAAGGCTGATGCGCGGAAATGTCTTGAAATATTAGACCTGGTCGGTATTGCCCCCGAAATGCAGAAGACGCGCACCGAAGTACTCCGAACGGCTTTTGCCGATATTCTTTGGTAATGGTATATTTTCTCTTTCTTGAATATTTGGGTCATTTTGGGTTGGACAGCAACACGAAATACATATGTAACACTAGGCAAGCGTGGAGTTGATTTCTACTATACACGAATAATAATCTATCAAGGACAAGGTACAAACTACATCACACTGATCCTTGCTTGTTCTGGCTCCCGGGATACTTTGGTACAAACATGTGGCCTGGCGCATGTGCTCCCCCACGTTTTTTCCGAAGTTCCGAGTACTTACCACTGGTCTTCTTGGCAATCGATGTGGACCAGGGTCTTTCTCAGCCTTGTACCTGGACACTCGTTACATGGGCATAGTAGTGTGTCGAGCCAGAGTCTGGATTTTTTGTTCAAGACATGGAATGCTTGACGAGAATTTGCAGCAATCTAAATGCATCAAATTGAGCCAACGACACGAAATCAATCCGAATGCAGATGATGGTTGATGAAGACGATCAGGCCATAGCTTTTTCTTCTATCAAGCATACCCACTTCCCGCTCTTTCCGACTCTTTTTCTCTATTGCTGTCTCCTTTCTCCATAATCATGCGCCGGCTAGCTGCGCTTCAGTGGCGCTAAATAGCTCTCCTCTCCACACAAACTACGTACGCAACTACTCAGCTCCAGACCAATATCCGCCAATCGGGCACTTGCGGCATTACGCGCACCCCAGACACTTGACCAACTTGAACACATGAAATATCGAGACGAGTTGCTCAAGTTGGGTCTATGTCTCCACACGTCCGAGTCAAACACCGTCTCGTCCTGTCGAGATGATCCACATGGCGCCCACCCGCATGCTACACCTTCCTGCGGCTGATGTTGCCTTGACGTAGCACGACAATCATCCGACTGCTGACTCAGACCATAAGCGAACGCTGGCTTGACTAGTTTAGCCACCCGGGAGCCGATCAAGCAATAGGCGAGCCTATCGCCTCATCTTTACCCATCCTCAACCAGTGACCACACACATTGGCGCCGTCTTTGAATACGAGTATCCTCTAGGGAAAAAAAAGAAAAGTGAAGCATGGATATGTCTTATATCGTAGCCTGGGCAAAGAGGAAGCGTGAGAGCGCGTGTCAGAGGCTTGCAGTAGCTAAAAGGGAGGGGAGAGAGAGAGGGTTGAGAATGGCAGTGGTGAATGTTCGACCCACGGATTAAGATTATACAAGGCCTCCAACTAAAAACGCTCGTGTACATGGGCCTTTGGTGCTTTTCCAGACTCTTTGCTATCGACAGTCGACTGGCTGGAGCCCCCAGGGCTGCCTCTCCGATTTTGTTTCTGTCCATGCTTCCGACTCCTATCCATTGAAGCTCGCGCAGCTTGCTCATCCAGAACGGTAGATGTAATGTATCCCGGAAGTCCTTGTTGCTGCTGCCATGCTTCTGACGGCATGCTCGAGCCAAGGAATCTTTCCTCGTCCGACTCTTTGCTTTCTCGCCGTGCCCGTGATGTGGTAATGGTAATGGACTTTTGAATCGAAGGCTTAATCACACTGAGCTGATGGCCAGACTGTTCTTGTCCTGATTTGAGTGAAGGCTTGCTCCACGGCATGGCTGAGGCTGATCGGGTAATTTCAAACGCCTGCTTCAATAGTGGTCGGAGCGTCGCAATTGATCCAGCTGATATACCAAGGCCTACTTCAATAGTGCTCCAAATCGCGAAGTCAGTTGTCCGGAAGAGGAAGTCGCCTTTGTATCCCTTGATCGTTGTCGTGTACGGCAAGCGAATAATGGTCGCTGTAGAACCACTGTTTATACATGTCAGGCGGCTATTGAGGGGAAGGAATGTGACCAAAGTGCTACTTACATGGCCGCCAAGGCAATGACTGAGGCTACAACCACCTTCATACGCTTCTTCATGTGCAGACCCTGGACGATAAGTACTGGAAGAATGGCAAAGACCCAGTCGGCAAAGGCGTTGAGCCCAGAGACCACAAAGGTAAAGTTCATGACCAATGCTGGAGAGAGGCAGGAGCCGACGGCGTTCGGATTGAGATCCCACCAATATGAAATGGGCTTGCACTGGAAGATGACAACGGACGTGTATGCGATTCCCACGAGGCCAGACACGACCATGATGAGACGGATGATCCAGATGTGAAGCGGCACAATGGTGATGCGTAGCAAGAAGAAGCCGACGGAGATTTTGAGCATACATGTCGACAGCGTGTAGAAGATTTCGCAGAAGAACCAAAAGTGAAGAGCCGTCTGGGCGCTCTCGTCGGTAAGGTGTATGCGGCGCACACCAGATCCGTTGATGGCGCCACCAATCTGTGATATCAGGTATCCCGTGAAAAAGAGCAGCGTGACGACCATTGTGTAGTCGTCAATGCCAAAGCCCTTGACCATGTGGACGCTACAGTCAGGAAGGTCAGTTACACGCCTGGTGGAGTCAAGTGATCAGGCGACTTCTTACCGTACAAAGCATCGAAGACCGACAGTAAGCCATGACAAGAGCAAGAAGGTAATGCCTATGGCCAAGATCTCTCCACTGCGATCCTTCATCGTGAGATGATGGGGTATGAGGGTATCAAATTGGAAAGCAGTGATATCTGGGGAGGGAAAAGCAAACAGTCAAACCAAAACACCGACGAGTTGGGAGCACAATGTATGCAGTGGATATGTTCTCCTCTCCGGCGATCTTGCCTCACAAAGATGCCGACACTTGAGCCTAACCCGTGTTGCAGTCTGCTTTGGCCCATTCTAACGCTAGAATCTTGTGAGCAACAAGACCGACCCTCTTACTGGAACCCTTGCAGCGGTAGTTGAGACAGGGCCGGGCGATGAAGCCAAGATTTCCGTGGGGCAATCTTCTGCTTCCATACATAAGACCCTCCAACTGGAAGATCGGCAACGTGCAAAGTGGAGCATTTCAACAGGCTGTCTGTGGCCGGAACAAGTCAGCGAAGGGAAAAAAAACTCGGACCAAGCCAGTCAGTGTAGGAGTTCATTTGATGAGGGGCTCCACTCGCTCGGAAAAGATGAAGTGGATAGGGCTAAACAGCAACATGCTCGTGCGCCCTTTTTTAGCCCTGGGCGCGGCAAAGGGCCCGACCAGTTGGCGACGCTCGTGTTTGGGACGGGCGCTGGTTCTGAAAAGAGAAAGCAAGGGTTTGCCGCGGACCTTGGTGGTTGCCACTCAAGGTCAAAGGGGCAGGCGATCCCAGCGGAAGGAAGATGGATGCCGTCTGTGTCTCTCCTATCTCGCGAAGGAACGAGAAGCCGGGACTGGGTCCAAATGCCGTGTCTTGGACAGCTCCGTCGTTGCCGCTTCATGAGCCACTTCGCGATCTGATAGTCGCAATGTCATCACGTCCATGCTCGACCTGTCGTCCAAATGCGCAGCCTTGCCCGTGCCGAGGGTCTCTGTTTTTGGCAAATTCGTCATTGCAACAGTGTGGAAGCGTGCTTGCGCTCTCATGCTCATGTTGACTAGGTACGCTTTCCGAGGTGGCGTAGGACACAGCCATTAGGACAAAATATCCACCCCCGCACCGCCATGCAACCTTGACCGGCCGCTCGTTGGGTAGTCTGCCAACCGGCGTCGAATGCGCATATTGCATCTGCTGGCGCTGGTGGCCATGCAGCGCAGACTACACCGTCAAGTGGGCCTCGAGGGGGCGGCTGTCGAGCGTTCCTTGCGTCTACTGCACGGGATGCACGGGAGCCACGGTATCCATGTTCCGCTCCCCTCCACCAGTCCTGCTGTCATCGAGCATGCTTTAGCCCTCCCCCGCCAGACAGCGGCACAGCAATTGGTAAAATCAACCTGCAGCGGGCATGCAAGCAACTCCTTGTTGGGGCAACTAGAGATTCAGTAGGGCTCTCCTTGTGCCGCACGGTTTGCTGCCAATACTTGCCGTGAGGGCAGAGGATCCAGTATGTACCTACATATACATATGTAGTTACATGCAGTATACAAACACCGGTAAATCAAATCATGGCAAACCCCACAATCACGATTCAACAACTCCTTTCCCTGGCAAATATGCATGGCGCAATCTTTCTGGAATCCCAAGGTAGATCCCTCGTATCTACAGTTCGAACGTGTATACAACATAGGTTCGTTCAGGGGCGCGTTTGCCAAACCTGTCTTGAACCCCCATGCGAACGGAAACCCGACAAGACCAGTCCGGCTCTACTGCGGCGAAACCACACCTGTCGAGGTTTCACCATACCCAGTAGGTCCACATGTCTCAATTCCTCGACGCGGAGACATGCCCAGAAAAAGCACCAACGGTCAGACGCTAGCATAATATTACGCGTAGCTATTCTGTGCCGCCTCCCGCTCTGTTTCATGCCAACTGCAAGCGAAAAGAAGAAAAAAACGCTCATCAGTTGTGAGACTCAAGGCGATGTGAGCACCGAGGCTCTGCCATCAACTTCGCCACAGCTTGGGTTGCTATACGAGGGTCCACCAGTGCAAATTCTGGCCAAGGGGGACTGGGGCAAGCATGCTGACTGTCACTGCGCACGACTGTTGCGTCGATGGCAATCATAAAACGCAGCTTGCCGTGACTCGCCTAATCATCCAAAGTTCCAGTCCCGTCTGGTCCCGGGATTGACTGCATCGCGATGGGATAGCCATACAACAGCTGCTATTGACCCTTTATCATAACTGGGAAGTTGGTAGAATGTCTTTGCTGCACTCTCATGTCGCCGACTATGACAAGATGCATGAGCTGATCATTGTTGGATTCGACTGATCGCCAATTGGACCCATACTACGAGACGCAACCTGTCGCTTCATTCGTAGGTTGTTCTCTCGACTCTCCGCTGGAACATATCGCCATGTAATGGTCCCTGGTGGTGGATTAGTATCGAATTCTGCCTTCACCAGATCACGCGACCTTACCTCAGTTCCAGCCCTTATCTCGACATCCTAGGAATAACTGCGCAGGATGAGTGTACTTTACATTTCTCCTGCCTGAACTGGCGAACTCATTGCATGAAACATGCGGGGTGACAATGAAGAAATTCTTGGATTATAGGCATTATATGTTGAGCTTCGGGTCTTTGCCTTGGTTTAGGTCGAATTGGTCATCCGGAAATGGACGCCTGACAATTCCATCTGCCAGGTGTGATATGGAGGTGAATATATGCAACCATCGCTTCTGCATCGGAACGAACCTATCATGCAAACTTGTTCTGGACGAGGGTCTGCAGGAGTGGTGACATGTCGCATGAACTGCTACTACCCATCCTTCGGCATGTGTAAGTGAGTGCACGTGAACTTCGGGATCCTGTTCCGGTTGTCGATCACATTTCCAGCGCATAGACGGAACTGCTTGTCAACACTGCTTATCTGATTGAACTCTGTTTTGTCAAATAAATTGCGCTAGTTCCACGTGGAATACCAATTGCGAATTTTTGAGAAGGGATTTGGTGAGGATAAAAGAAACTGAGGGGCACTACGTTTATAACTACTTACAGGACAATACACAAGAGCAGGTCTCGAAACGCCATAAACGCATTGTTAATGATCCTTCTAGCAGCGCAACGGCGAAGTGTATGAATGGCCTATCCCATCTCAGAACAAGCGCAATCAAAGGCCGGGAAAACATCCGGTCTGAACGCGCCAATGCGGGGCCCCGCAATCAAAATTCATCTATTCGGACACTACTAACGCTACAAAATAGGAGAATAGGCTTTCCATGCAAAGCTCATCTCTTGGCCGCTTTTTTAGTTTTCAACATGTCTACAGCGGTCTGAAACAGCGCACGGTGTGAAGATGAGGCTCGCACACTCGCTCGGCCAATAAACATCACGCCTGATTGCACCGAGAGACCTCACCATTAAGGTCTCGGTGGTATCCCGGGTCCATATTCACATTTGATGAAGAAGTGCGAGGAAGCGTCCCCGTCAGACGAGACCGTGCTCCCACGAGGCGGTATAAGTATGGTGTTGATTCAATCGAAACAGTTCCCCAATCGCTTCTTTTCTTGATCCAGCGGAACCACTCCCTCTTGAAACGCTTAAACATGTCACTTTCTTCAGTCGTCGCGGCAACCCTGTTGGGCTTGGCCACTGCCCAAATAGTGGGAACTATACCAGAAGTACACCCAAAGTTGACGACGTGGAAATGCACAAAGGCTGGTGGATGCAAGGCGCTAGACACAGCCATTGTCGTCGACTCACTACGCCACAACATTCACCTGAAGAACGACACGAGTGTGAGCTGCGGTGATGAATACACTGCGCTCAACACGGCGCTCTGCCCAGACAAGAAGACTTGCGCCCAGAATTGCGTAATTGATGGCATCGAGGATTACTCCACTCAAGCAATTTTCACGGACAACGACAAGCTTCGCCTAGACATGTATAATCCAAAGGGCGAATATATGAGCCCTAGGGTGTATTTGCTAGCCGAGGATAAACAAAACTACGAGATGCTGCAATTGACGGGCAATGAGCTATCCTTTGACGTCGACATGTCGAAGCTACCCTGTGGCATGAACAGTGCTCTGTACCTTAGCGAGATGGAAGCTGATGGTGGGCGGTCCGAATACAATACCGGAGGTGCGCCTCAGGGTAGCGGGTACTGCGATGCCCAGTGTTTTGTCAAACCATTTTTGAACGGCGAGGTAAGCTCACTTGCTTATTGGTGTTGAACAAAAAACTGACTGTACACAGGCCAACGCCAATGGCGAGGGCGCCTGCTGCAACGAAATGGATATCTGGGAGGCCAACAGTTATGCCAACCAGATCGCCCCCCACACCTGCGCCAAGCCAGGTATCTTTGCATGCACGGGCAATGACTGCGGCAGTGCTGGACTCTGCGACAAGGCCGGATGCGGTGACAACCCGTATAAGGACCGTAACGACAAGGAATATTACGGACCGGGTCTCAAGGTCGATACCAACAGGCCATTCACCGTTGTCACCCAGTTCCCCGCCAAGGACGGCGTGCTCCAGGCCATTGTCCGCAAGTACGTCCAAGATGGTGTGGTCATTGAAAACGCCATGCGCAACCTCACTGCTGAAGAAGCAGTCATGGACCAGGCGTGGTGCGATAGGCAGGGAAAAACCTCTGCCTACAACAGGCTCGGCGGCCACAAGACCATGGGTGAGGCTCTGGAACGCGGTATGGTTCTAGCATTGAGCATCTGGTGGGACAAGAGCGGAGGCATGCAGTGGCTTGACAGCGGATCCAGCGGGCCTTGCAATGCCACCGAGGGCTTCCCAGATGTCATCCAGTCGAAGGTCAAGAACCCCACTGTTACCTTTAGCCAGGTCAAGTGGGGTGAGATTGACTCGACGTATGGAGCTTCGAATGCGACAACCAAGTACTGGAAGGCTTAGAGCGTGGTGGCTTTGTATATATTAGATGATAGATGTGTATATGTACGTTTTCAAATAGAGACGCGTGGGAATACCTTGAGTCGCGCAGATGACTTTGCAATAGTTGTCATACCGCAGATGAAACGCAGCAACCGTTGGGAAAAACCATGTCAGCAGAACGTATGAGTCCTCACCTCATGAATCGCAAACTTTCATTCCAGCACCGGTCACTTCAACGGCTGACCGGCCAGCCAGCAAAGCATGTCGCAATAGCAGACGCGAGCAATACGAATGCAGCTTACAAAGCCCCTCCACCTTACAAAGCCACACCCACTTTGTCGTCCGTATACGGAAACCACTAGTCCCCATTCCCATCACCGGTGACGCCCTTTGACTCAAACACCACTCAACCTGCAAACCTGACCTTTTCCAGCAAGAACAAGCGTTACGCCCTTTGCTTGTACATGTGTAGAACCGCCACAAGATGACTCAACCGTCTTGCCGTGCGCAGACATTGGAGAGAATGCCTGGGAGCCTGGGGGGGGAGGCACATGAGTCGGTGCGATGGGGCAGCGCGGTGTATTGCGTTGCTGTTGAATTGGTCAACAAGAGTTATATCGCTAAGCCGAGGGTTGGGGATGGAGAAGGGTATAAAGATTGGGGGATGCAATCCAGCAGTTGAGGCATCAAATCAATTGGAACATCCTCATTTTATATATATATATCATTATCAAAGTTACGACATACGCCTACTTCTATTGTCATTCCAAAGGCAACACATCACGGGATTGGCATTGCCGATTTTATAAATATCGGAATACGGAATTCAGAATACTCAACATGTCGTCTACACGCTCCACATCCACATCTACACCGGAAAAAGATACAATGTCGATAACATCATCGTCGACAATGACGAGTACGAAATCGCTTCTTCGGTCGCTACTTCCGTCGAAGCGGGATAGCTCGGCGACAAAGACGGAAGCTGCAAGGTCAAAAGCTACAGAGACGCCGGCGGAGAAAGTGGAGAGGAAGTTGACAAAGGCGGAGGCTTTGCATGATTGGGCGTTGTATCGGTAGAAAGAAAGGAGTACAGGAAGTGATAAAAGAGAGAGATGACGCGATGAAGATAGATGCAGTTACTAGATTAGTTCTGGTGCAGATATCCTGGGGTCTGAGGACCCCGATCGATTTCTTTGTTTGTTTGGACCTTGGGCGTAATGTACTATGCCTCTTTTCTATTTGCTGCTGTGCAGTTTGGCTTTGGTCTCAGCGCAGCCATGGCAGATAGAGATGGTTGATAGGAGACGATATTGCATCATAGTTTGATGGTAGAGAGGAATTGAATCAAGTTATTCGTTTTTTTATTATCATCCTAACAGTCTGATTCAAGATCAAGTGAAAGACTGAAGCAGCTCGCATATACAAATTTCATGCCAGGGGGATAGAGAATAAAGCAGATGCGCATAAGCGTGTCAAGAAATAATAAATTGCGCACAAAGCTGTGACAACAAGGTCACTGTGCGCTTCATTTAGTTACTTTTATCTATCATGTGTGAATCATAACATCATCTAAGCAGGGTATTATCATCCTGCCAGTGGGCAGCTCTATACCTCCTTCTTGGGGACACCACCTGGTAACGTCTGTACCTTTTCCTGGAAAAGCTTCTCAGCGCCTTGCCATACAGGGGTTGTGGCGCGATCCTTGAGGGCCATCAAGCTAGGCAGTAGGGCATTGCTGAAGGCTTCTGATGACTCGCGGGGAAGTGCGGATGGAAGATGGTCAATGGAGATGACGGAGAGTCTAGGGCCGTTGCCTTCGACGGGCACTTCAACCGTAGGCTTGTCAAAGGTTGTGTTGATGTCGTAGATGGGGATAGGGTTGTGGGGGTTGGTGGTGTCGCAGGAAACATCGCATACGACGCTTAGCTTGCGGTTTGGCGACTTAAGGCTCTCCTTGCTGACAAAGGGAGGAATGGGCTTGGAGAGGTAGATGCAATTGACGAAAATGTCCGACTCGATGATCTCGGGGTAGGGGCCGTCACGCTCCTTAGTCTCAGCCAGATCCCATTTCTTGACTTCCGAGCATCCAATTTTTTCAAGAAGGTCGACGGCACCCGAGCCGCAGCGACCCAGGGCACCAAGAACCAAACTGCTGGGCTTGCGGCCCGCGACCTTTTCACCGGCAGCGACATCGTCCTTGAGCTGAGCGATCAGCTCGTCCTCGTTGTTGTAGTAACCGCGGCCGTCGGTGAATGCGTCGAGGCCGGGGAGGGGCTCGCCATTGGGGTGGGTGAGCTGCCAGGCCCACGTCTTGATGGCAAGGGCGGCGCCAACAAAGCCAGCATGGTATCCAAAGGCAGCAACACGCCTGCCCGACTCGTCCTGTAGAAACTCGAGGTCGTAGAGAGTACCACCACCGCGGGGGAAGCGAGCGAGGACGTTCTCCCAGCCGCCTTGTTGCTTGTAGCAGTGTGCAAAGTGGACGAATGTGTGCTCAAGAGGAAATGAGTCCTCAGGCAGTTCCTTGAGACCAAGTATGATGTGGTCCTTGGGCGCTGTCTTGTATGCGCCCTCTTCAATGAGTGTTGCGCCGGCTTGCTCAAACTCTTCGTCGGCGAAGATGCGGGCGTAGTTGGGGTCCTTGGGTGAACGCTCGACAAGGACAGGGTAGCCGGCATCGAGCAGCTTCTTGGCTGTGGTGGGCGTGAGGCATGAGCGATGCTCGAGTGGCTTGGCCTCTGCGCGGGCGTGGAGGGTTGGGAATGCCATTTTGGAGGTGGTGACTGTTATTGTTGTAGTAATGGTGTTCAATTGCAAGCCGACCGTCTTATAAAATACAATGCGACGGACTTCGGAGTGTGGAGCAGGGAGTGCCGGACTAAAGCAGCCCACTATGACTCCATGTTCTGTTTTGCCCGGCGCCCAAGTTTCGAGCTCCGAGAACGGGGGGCAGACAAGACCGGGTGTGGGGGTGGACAGGCCAACGAGAACGGCGTCCCGCCCGCACCGGAAAAACCATTGCCCATGATACACCAACAGCTCCACGTCCATGCTCTTGCTCGTGCGGCACTTAGAACGGAAGCGCGAAGTATGATTACTGCTTGGAACAGTCGGCCGCTTCGAGACGACGGACTCTAACAGAAGAGGAGGAACAACGAGAAGAAGAGAACGAGGACGGCGACGTCATCAGCAACAACAACAGCACCACCACCATCAACACCAAGGCCATCGAGAATGCCACCCAAACCAGCCACCCCAGACGACAGCAGTCACCCGCCTGCCACAGCCTCACATTCGCGAGACTCGTCGAATGCAAGCGCCCGCCATGCTCATGCGCCTGCCACGCCTAGCCAGCTCCGACAGGCCCATGTGCCCTCAGACCCGTCCACTTCGCCAGACGAGACCATGCACCGCCGACATTACTACGATGACGATGAAGAGCCTCTTGCCTCGGCCAGTGATACTCTGTCCCATCTCGACTTTGGTGTTGACGGCATACAACCCACAGCAGATGCCCTGTCTGCGCACTCGATCCACGAGAATGTTGCCCCATCCGGCGGTATCATAGAAATCGACCTCGAACCCACTGTGCGCACTCGCCTGCTGAACTACCAACAACACGACGCCGGTGCTGGAAGGCCAGCGACACATCGCAGCTATGGTAGCTTCGCGGGTAGCGTGCATTCGGAGCAGAGCTTCGGTGGCGCCTTTCCTGGTATAAGCGAGACGCTCGAGGGCGACGCACCAGACGCCACACACGCGCTGCTAGGTGACGCTGTTGCCGATGGTGTCATGAACAAGGCCAGCGGCAAACAAATGAGCACCACGCGATGGCTTGCCGAACGCCATGGCATCAAGAATAAGCGCATGATGTACCTCAAGTACTACATCCCCATTCTCAACTGGGCCCCGCAGTACAAATGGCGCTACTTGAAGGGCGATCTTGTCGCGGCTATTACCATGGCCTCCTTCTACATCCCCATGGCCCTCTCGTACGCCTCGAATCTCGCTCATCTGCCCCCCGTACACGGTCTTTATAGCTTTGCGTTCAATCCGCTCATCTACGCCATACTGGGCACCTGTCCACAGATGGTCGTAGGTCCAGAAGCACCGGGCTCACTCCTCGTCGGCGAAATTGTGCGTGAGAACATCAAAAAGGGCACTACAGACGACAACGACGGCAGGCGCAATGCCGAGATTGCTGGCATTATCACGTGCATGGCTGGCGCATTCATTCTCATTGGCGGCTTCTTCAGACTTGGCTTTTTGGACAACGTCTTGAGCAGGCCCTTCTTGCGTGGTTTCATCAGCGCTATTGGTGTAGTCATCTTCATCGACCAGCTTATCCCTCAGATGGGACTGGCAAGACTTGCTGCTGACCAAGTATCTCATGGAAGCTGCTTGGACAAATTTCTGTTCCTCGTTCGCAATGTCGGCAATGCCCATGGTCTTACATGTGCCATATCTTTTACTGCGTTTGCTATTATTATGTTCTTCAGGTATGTTGTTCCACACCAGACGTCTGGTGACTGTCTCTTTCTGATTCTCCTTGCTCACAATTTCGCAGAGAGTTCAAGAAGCGACTGCAGCCACGTTACCCCAATGTCGCATACATCCCGGACCGCTTTGCAGTCGTTGTGCTTGCTACCATCATCACCTGGAGATATCGACTTGATGAGCAAGGGCTCGCGGTTCTTGGTGAAGTAAACTCAAGTGCGAAGCTCTTCTCAGTCCACTTTCCCTTCGACACGTCGCATCTGAAGTATGTATCGGACGCCATTAACACGGCCCTCATCATTGCTATGCTGGGTTTCTTTGAGTCGTCTGTTGCAGCAAAATCCTTAGGCAGCGGCGAGCAGAACAAGGAAGGGGTGCAGATGCCACTCAGCGCAAACCGAGAGCTCATCGCATTGGGTACTGCCAACATCACTGGTGGCCTCTTCATGGCTCTTCCCGCTTTTGGCGGTTATGGCCGGTCCAAAGTCAATGCCTCGACTGGTGGTTTGACACCTATGAGCTCCGTTTTCCTCTCTATCATTACCATTCTGTGCACTGTATTCATGCTGCCTTACTTTTACTACTTGCCAAAGGGCGTGCTTTGCGCCATGGTTTCGGTTGTTGCATACTCGCTTGTTGAAGAAGCACCGCATGACATCAAGTTCTTCTTGAAGATTCGAGGCTGGTCTGAACTGATCCTCATGGGCCTCATCTTTGTCATCACCATCATCTGGGATCTGAAGCGCGGTATCGGCGTTGGCATCGGTCTGTCCATCCTGCGCCTCATCCGCCATTCGGTGCGCCCGCGGATTCAAATCCTCGGCCGTGTGCCTGGGACAACCAACCAGTTCTCCAACGCAGAGCAAGCCCCAGGAGACGTTGAGTTTATTGAGGGATGTCTGATTGTCAAGATTCCAGAACCCCTGACTTTTGCCAATACGGGCAACCTCAAGACGCGTCTTCGCCGCCTAGAAGACCACGGCACCGCTAGAGCGCACCCAGCCTTGCCGCGGGTTCGACATGCAGAAAATAACAAGAACATCATTTTCGATGTACATGGTGTTACGTCGCTTGATGGAGCTGGCGCTCAGGTACTTGCTGAGATTGTAGAGTCGTATAGGAACCGAGGGGTTAGAGTGTTTTTCTGCAGAGTACCCAGAGAGTCGAGTGCGGTTTACGAGCTCTTCGATAAGAGTGGCATTATCGAAATGTGTGGTGGGAAAAGACACTTTGTACACAGCGTCGAGGAGGCGCTTCGCATGACGGAGATGGAGCGGTTAACCGAGGAATGGGGTAGTTCCGCGGAGAGCTCACGCGCTGTTTCCAGCCGGGCGTGATGAGGATTTTGCCACTAAGAATTTGGATCGTACAACATGAGCCAAGGCGTTTCTAGCATGGCATTGGACGAAACGGCGTGTTGGGGTTCCGAGTATAAAACTAGACGAGTGCGTATGGTCCATACATACTACATGAAAAGGGTGTTGGAAATCAAATTTTTCGGCTTACCAGCAGGAAGGTCTGACATGCGTCTCTTCTCCAGCACTGCGGAAATACTGAGTTTGGCGCCATCCTAGGACGAGAATGTGCGTCTTTTCGCACGCGGAGCTTGATCTGACGCCCTCGGTCAACATGCCAACCGACAAGCTTTGTGACAGTGCTTGGCGACGTGTTGAGCCCCGGTTTTTTCTCGAGGGGGGTAAAGCTAAGCAAGTCTTGATAACGCTTAGCATGTCTTGACAAGTCGTACCACGGCCGGATGGCGCCTAGCGCAGTATTGAGCCTCCCAGCTTATCGGCCCTAACGGCCTCTCCGCAAACATTCACTGGACGGGAGCGGGCAATGCGGGGTTGCGGGCACGTCATGTGTCAGTGGATCGCGCACGCATGGGCTGCACATTGCTTACCTGTCGGGCATCGCATCGGGGCAGCGAGGCATGCTCGCAACGACGTCAGGCCATGTATAAAGGGTTGCCTGACGGGCGTCTGAGCTGCCTCATGAGTACACTGGTCGGCCAGTCCGTCTGATCTCATTCCCAAGCACCTTGACCGTAATGGCAGACACCAAGTATGAAGACGCTGAGCAGCGCGAGTACGTGGAGCCCGCTCCCACCATAACGGCTGCCCGCTATGTGGCAACGCGTATCCCGACGCTCAAGCCCGCGCACGACAAAGTTGCAAATCCCATCGCCCTCCTCCGCATGCTCAACGTCCAGCAATGGCTGTTCTTTCTTGTTGCCTTCTTCGCTTGGACATGGGATGCCTTTGACTTTTTTACCGTTTCCCTTACCATTGAAAACCTCGCCGAGACGTTTGGCAAGACCAAAGCCGACATCACGTGGGGTATTACGCTAGTCCTCATGCTGAGAAGTGTGGGCAGCATCATCTTTGGCTTGGCTGCGGATCGCTATGGAAGGAAGTGGCCGTTTGTTATCAACAATCTCTTGTTCATTGTCCTCGAACTCGGCACGGGCTTCTGTTCGACGTACAAGGAGTTTCTGGGCGTACGCGCCTTGTTTGGCATCGCTATGGGTGGGCTGTATGGCAACGCTGCTGCAACTGGTACGTATGTTCCACTTTCTTTTCTTGTTCGGTGCATGTACCCATCAGAAATCTGACCTCTGAACAGCTCTCGAAGATTGTCCCGAACAAGCTCGTGGACTTATGTCTGGTATCCTGCAACAAGGCTATGCATTCGGTTATCTACTTGCCACGGTCTTTGCACGTGCATTTGTTGATACCGTCGGTCATGGGTGGCGCCCTCTGTTCTGGTTTGGTGCGGGGCCTCCGGTTCTCATCATCATCTTCCGTCTCTGCCTTCCAGAGACGAACGCCTATCGCGAACGCCAGCGTATCCGCGAAGAACAACCCAGTGCGGCCAAGACATTTGTCGAGGAGGGCAAGGTGGCCCTGAAGAGACACTGGCTGCTGCTTGTCTATCTCGTGCTCCTCATGGCAGGCTTCAATTTCATGTCCCATGGCAGCCAGGATCTTTATCCGACCATGTTGAAGAACCAATACAACTTCTCGGCAAACCAGGTGACCGTCACCCAAGTCGTAGCCAACCTAGGTGCTATGGCTGGGGGCACAGTCGTCGGATACTGTTCGTCCATTTTCGGCCGTCGCATCAGTATCATTGTCATGTGCTTCCTCGGTGGGGCGTTACTCTATCCTTATACGTTTACCTCGAGTGATGCTGTCATAGCCGCAGCCTTTTTCCAACAGTTTTGCGTCCAAGGCGCGTGGGGGGTCATTCCAATCCATCTCATGGAGCTCTCGCCGGGCTCATTCCGCACGTTTGTCGTGGGAACTAGTTACCAGCTTGGCAATCTCGCTTCGTCTGCTTCATCTACCATTGAAGCCACGATTGGTGAGAGGTTCCCTCTGTCACCAAAGGGCAAAGTCTTGCGGTACAAATACGGGCTAGTCATCTGTATCTTTATGGGGTGCGTGTATGCATATGTTATTTTGCTGACCGCAATTGGGCCAGAGTATCGGGGCAGGGACTTTGACGCTGCAGCGGATGAGGATTTGGCAATTGCCACCGGTGCAGATGCGGGCAAGTATGAGACCAAAAAGCAGGTGGAGGATCTGGAATCGAGGCCGCATGCGTGAAACATGTTTAACCGGGAGATGCGAATGTTGGGTGCGAGGCCGGATTTGTCAGTGGGCCAGGAGGTTCCTCGGGGTCGGGCCAGCAGCCAAGCCGCGACGTCTTAGTTTGTATGTTCACCATGCTCGAAAAACAACGGGCAGACTTGGCGCTACTATTTCGGCAAGCGACCAAGGCCGAAAACTTTTAGCCACAGACTTGATTAATGAATCCATGACACTACCAAAGCATGCTATTCCATTGGTGTCGATGAACGCTTCCACGCTAAGACCCACCACATGAGGGTTCAAGTGGAGAGACATTAATATTGTGCTGGCTGTGTGATCGCACTTCCTGTCGTGGTATATTATGGCGCCTATAGGCCTGACGTAGGCAATCTAAATTATTCTTGCTTCTTATTGGCCTGATTGGCTACGCTGTTCATGCGGAAACGACATCCGTCTCTAGTGCCGTATCACCTGTAGAGTCTCGCCAACCCAAACAGATTGTCTTCATATCCAGCAATCTATGCCACGCATCACGCCGCCTTGGATGGCGGTGCTCGCCATTCCACTGCCCTCAATCTTCGGCTCCTTGTCGCGGCTTTAGTCTAAGCGATGATATTGCCGATGGCTGTGGTACCCTTAGGCAGCGTTACTATGCCATGGCATAGGGTATAAGTATAGGAAGCCTGGTAGAGAGTGAAACAGAATCACATCTCTTCATCCGTCTCTCTTTATCCGCAGCATAAACAGAGACTTTTCTGCAAAGATGAAGGTTTCCGCCGTTATCCTCGCTGTCGCCTCTCTGGCCAGCGCTCACTGTATGCCGATTAGCGTTTCCACTTTCCAACCTAACCTCAACTGATTTCTTCTGCAAGACACTCTCCCCAGCATCAACGGCGGCGTACCGTGGGCTCACGTCCGCCAAGCCAAGAACTGGCAGGACAATGGCTTCGTCGGTGATGTCACCAGCAACGATATCCGCTGCAACCAGCTGAAGCCTGGCACTGCCACCATGACCGTCGCCGCTGGTTCCAGTGTTAAAGTCAGCGTCAACCCCAACGCCTACCACCCAGGCCCATTCCAGTCATACCTTGCCAAGGTACCCGCAGGTGCAGACATCAACACCTGGGACCCCACTGGCGCAGTCTGGTTCCGCATCTACGCCGAGCAGCCCAAGTTTGGCAACCAGCTGACCTGGTTGGGTAAGTCATCTACTCTACCCTTTCCCTTCGCCGTCACTGAACCCACACTAACAAACTCTTTGCTACAGCCGCTGGCACCTACGACATCAAGATCCCCCAGTGCATTGCCCCCGGCAAGTACCTTATGCGCAACGAGCACATTGCCATCCACACTGCCGGCCAAAGGGGCGGCGCACAATTCTATCTCTCCTGCGCACAAATCGAGGTCACCGGTGGCGGCAGCACGTCGCCAAGGAACCTTGTCGCCTTTCCAGGCGCCTACAGCGCTACTGACCCAGGTATCTTGATCAACATCAACTACCCCATTCCTACTAGCTATGTTAACCCTGGCCCACCTACCTTCACTTGCTAGAGTGCCTTGGGTATGTAGGAGTGGTGAAGTAGCAACACTGGGGTCCTGTATATAGATTATTTTTTCTCCATCCCTGCTGTTGTTGAGGAAGACTTGAATGAGGTTGGGAGGGTAGAAAGCTTTTTTTTTGCCTTCCCTCGAGCTCTATATGATATGATATTATTATAGAGAATGTAAATATGTTCTATGGATATACTTTCTTGAAACGATACACGCACAGCTTTGTTCTCCCAACTGATTAGGCTATTGAGGTGAACGGATTGACTGCTCTTGGAATGGACAGTCTTCTTGGAAAGCATTTGTATCGTTGGCCAGAGCGGAAGGAGTTCAACGTGCGCAAATCTCATGATACTGCTTGATTCTGGAAAAAGAAGCTTAAGTGACTCAACACGATCAATCATCAGTTAAACTCGATCTCAAAGCCATCGCACCCTTTTTTCCTTAAAAAGACAAAATATTAAGATGACAGCATCGCCCTCAGTGATAAATCTAGAAAGAAGAGTGCCGCTGATAACCCGGTTGATTGTTACATCGATATTCTCATAAATGATGGTCTCCGCTCCAGAGTTGGCAATACCAAAGCCAGCCTGATTTGCAACAGACAAGACCTGATAAAATAGCTACAACGACATGATTACAAGAGTTCAGATAGGTGAGCTTTTGGAGGGAACAATCCATCTTGGACAAGGCTTGAGGCACTAGACCTGGATTTTTTGGATTCGATGGTATTGACTATCTATTAGTATTGGCTGGGCAGTATATTGTGAGTGATTTGACCTACCAGCTGGGTGTCCCTAAATTGCTGACAGTAGCATTGAGTGTGAGCTTGATGACAGTCCATATATCCAGTGAGGAGAAAGTGGAGTTCAAAATAGGCTAGTTAATGTTAGTTTTTTTTCTTTTCTGTACAAGAAGAACTTGGGTAATAGTTCATTATGTTTTGCTGTCAGGTCATGAATAGATTAGCAACGTCTGTTGAATATAAAGCGTTAACGAAAAAAAATCACTTTGTTGACAATTTCATTTTTCAATCACATCAGAGTAGGGCAGCCAAGAAGCTGTTGGAGTGTTGTGACAGATGCCCATGCTTCTCCTATCATCGGTGCCAATTAATGCTTGTGGCTTTGCAAATATTGGCTGGCTAAAAGAAGCTAGAAGAAACGCTAGAAACTATTGTAAAGTATGGGGATGTTGAGATTGGATGATGGGACCTGAAAAATAACGAGATGCGAATGAATTTATTCCTCGCAGATGTAGACATACTAGTCACATAGCTATCTCATAACAGGAAAACAACCCAATCTTTCGTTTAGATTCCGAGCATATCACAGGGTAATATAATGTAGTGCAGTGGAGGGAACAGGCTCCGAGTCTTGATAAGAAGTATTGCCAAAAAAATTGACTGGTACAATATTTCTCCTGCTTGTTATGGAAGAAAAGACTTCTGGATAATTTCGAGGTCCTCATAGATTACATTCTCTGCGGCTATTCACGTGTTATAAATATCTTGGAAAACCGATAGCTTGCCGTGCCACTATCCTATACCACGAAGGCTTCTTAAAGCCCATTCTAGAACATTTGCAAAGTTTGTACGCATCTCGTTTCATAGGAAATATATCGACAGCTTTTGAGTATGCTTTCCTAGACAAGTTTAATCAATTACTACGCTGAGATACATAGGTTCAGCGACGGTGGTAAATCTAACACATTGATAAACACATTAAACATGAGCGTCAAAATTGGTAAGATTGCAGCATAGCTAACTTGTCTGTTTTAGCCGTCAACTAATTTGCCAAGTTGCTGATGTTAGCACTGCGTAACCTTCCATCAGAAACCAAAAGCTCACGCGGGAACCATTCTGCTAATTTTCCATCCGGCCTACCCGGATCTTGAGGCAAATCGTCCTCTTCAGTTCCAGCAATCATTATACCAAGAGCAGCTCCAGAAAGCCAGGCCCACACCATTCCTTCTCCACAAAACCCTGCTGCAATCCACTCTCCACATTGGTGATCGCCATCTAACGTGTTCTTTCGCTTCTTAATGTCGCGTCCTGTCAACTTCGCGTTCAATCGACCCACAAAGGGGATAGAGTCGCCAGTTAGACCAATGATCCCAGGCCACACCTGCTTCAGTTCGCTCCTCGCGCCCCACTTTGGATGAAATATCGCTGGGAATATACCTGCAATGTGCGTAATCGTCAAAGGGTCAAGCACGGAACCGTCGTCGTAGAGACCGATTTGATCAATACCTTGCTTCAAAGATCGCTTGAAGCCACCTCCAATCATCAAATCCCCTTTGGCGTCGCCTGAAGCTGGCGGTATCTGAGTGATATAGTCAAACGCATCGTCGTATATTATACCCCAGGATTTTGTACCGTCAGCGTGTGGGAATTTTTGTCCTGGGGTCTGGGCGGACATATGAGCCCTTGCTCCTACAATCCTGTTGCGCAATCCAGGAACAAGATGACTTGCGAATGCGTTGGTGGTGTGAACTATTTTCCGGACAAAAATGGTTCCTCGTGGAGTTTTCAAAGCATATGGGAAGCCTATCGGGGCATCTTCTGGAACGCTTATCGATTCTACGGGAGTATTCGTCTCCACAGATAGATGAGAGAATTCGTTCAGTAGGTTATTCCAGATGGACGTAACAAACCGGTAAGGCCAGATAGCACCTGCTTTGTAGGATAAAGCACCGACGACGCTTTCGTTGACACCAAATCTCTACTGATGTCAGTTCTCCGTCTCTGTTTGTTCCATTAAAAATCGTGCAAACCTTCTGAGCTTCGTCCCCGTTCCACACAGCGATATCAATTTCGGGCAACCATTGCTTCAACGCATGAGATTCAGTGGTGGCCTTGGAGAAGCTCTTGCTGTCCAGAAAGAAGTCGGCCGTTTCGACCTTTCGAGCCTGTGCAGCCTCAATACCTTCGCTTTCACATATTGCAGTCAAGTAATCAGCATGCAGACATTGAAAGCGCACTAAGGCGGCAGCACGGGCTTTTGAAAATAGTTTGCTGAGTAGAGAAAAGGATTCGTATGGTGAAGGTTTGATATGGCCGCCATTCCGAGCAGTAGCACCGCTACATAACTGTCGAGCCTCAAGAACAACCACCTTTTCGTCCGGACTGGTGTTGCTACGGCGTCGCTCGTGAAGTAATGATCGTGCTACGGATGCTCCGGCGATTCCAGAACCTATGATTGCCACATCTGCGGTTTGCGGTAAGCTGGATGAGCTTGCATTAGCAAGTTCAGGATATGGAGGATCATTGAGCCAGTAGGTTTGGGTTGGGTTGGGGTTAGGAAGGCCCGGAGATTGCGATGCACGCTTCAAAGCTTGGCCGAATTCGGTCGACAGAGCTTTCAGGAGAGAGGCTGTTGTAATACAGATTTTGATTGCATCCTGGAGAGTCGAGAGAACCACACCCATTGCGGTGTGATCTGCTTTTGAAGCTGATAGCCAAATGTAGTTGGTGCGTAGTACGTACAAAGAGAGACACCGTCAGTAGTGTGCTAGTCTTGGCAACATCGACCCCCGCCCACATCAGTCCGTTCACCACACGAACACATCGTCAAAATGAGGTCACATGGAGTACATAGCCAGATGTCTTCTTGTATATGGCTTAGAAACAGTAGACCGGTGTATGTGCCAAGAATTTCCAACGGTCATTTGCCCTTGAAGTAAGAGTTCATCGTCGAGGTTGGCACAATACTATGTCGTAATGGTGCATACAATACTCTTCTGCACACGGGAAGGCTGACCAGACAAGCCGGAACATCCCATAAGGTTAAAAGGCACTTCACCGTTTGTCACCTTCGATTAAGGTTTCAAACCCGTGTACATTCTTTACGTCATGAGCCTTTTTCCAGCCCGTCGAGTGGAGAGAGAAATGCTTAGTATGTAAGGGTACCGCTGAATAGCCACCTGTTGGCATCCAAAAAGGTACCGACAGCTACCGGTGGTTCGTCGCACCCCTGTCAGCCGCTGACGTGACTGAAAATGATTTTTGTCTCCATCTTAGCATCTTGCGCGACAAGACTGGCCGAAATCCCGAGGTGTATGTAAGCTTCTTCTGGCAGTTCAGTTCATCTGTCTTGACGTGCGTGAACATCCCTTACGCTGGCGAACATTGAAAGGGTATATAGTAGTTACATATATTATTGAATACTCTGCGCTAATAAGATCTATCCCAGGATCCTGGACCTATATATGTAAGGCTAGCGCATATAGTAGCAGCGGCAGCACCGGATGTGGCTAGATATACATATGTATTGACATCCATTCTGTACAGCAAGCGTGACAAAAACTCGACTTCGCTGGAGAGATCTGGAGTAATTTCTGCAAACTTTGTTTAAAATTAACATGCTATTTAGATTAACACACTATGTATAGATTCAGCAGATGATGCTGCGAAGAAGCAAGGAAGCAAATCATCATAGTTTGTAGATTTCTCTACCTGATCAAGGACTGCACCATAAACCTACCGTGACATTGGTACTACAAAAGGGCCGATGTAGCTTGTCTTTTCGACCTTAAACCAGCCGTCGGGAAGCTGACCAAAGCACAGCGGATGAGATTCTTATAACTAAATGAGGTAATAGAAAGTACAACCTCGGACAATAGTCCACACTTCATGCGAGGGGACAAAAGAAACCTAGCAAGAATGGATACCAATAATTTCAAAGCAAAATTTTCACAATGAGGATGCTTGTAAACATGGCCCGAGGATTGCTAAGAGGTTGCTATGAACTAGCGCAGCTCATACATACGTACTCCTTGTCAGCTTATATACTTACTTGCTGACGATCACCATTCTCATCAAAAGGTACCACCAAATCGGTGGAACACTGATGCTGTACAACCCCGCTTGTTTCTTCCGGAACAGTCCCGGGGCATCCGACCCTCAAAGTCTCTGTCACTAAAACTCGGTATCGTGAGATTAAGATCTAAAATTCCATACACCATTTGTAGATAATTTTGTTAGCCACATGCCAGGAGAGAAAAGATGAATGCATAGTGAATAACAACGTAGTTCCTGCTAAGACTTGACCTCGACTAGTAGTAGTTGCTTCGTCAGATCTCCATATTTCGTGTACAAAATTACCGACCTCAAGAAACTTGAACCTACACACTTGCATGCGCAGGTCATAAGCCGGCGCTTACTCCGAAGTGTAAGCAAACAAAATCTTTCCATACTTTCAAGTAACAAGAGATGAGCCCATCACTCTGTATATAAACACAGTTATAGTTCCCAGGTTAGATGGTATCACCGCACTTTCTTCCTCACTTGCACTAACACCAATCATTACTCGGTTCCAAAAATGGCTCCTCTTTTGTCCTACGTCCTGGCCCTCGGTGCCCTGGCCAGCACCGCCCTGGCCTCACCTACCTACCCCGCCGTGGAACCCGTCAAGTACCAAAACAACACTCTGTACACCTACACGCACCAAGACTGCACGGGCGCCGCCTTCATCTTCCACGACTTCCAGCCCAACACGTGTGCGGTATCCATTACCCGCCCCGGCCTCAACATCAGCCAGGCCATCGCCGCCAAACTCACGCTCGTCAAGTCCGGCCGCCTCGTGCGCACTGAAATCGGGTACACGAACCCTACCTTCGTTGCGTGGGACGAAGGCCCAGAGAGCAACGCGGATGGACCCCTTCAGTGCGGTACTGTTCGCGACAGCGAACTCGTCGAGGGCAACACGCTGTGTCTTAGCACCCCTGACAATGTAAACGACCACGGTTACAGCTACTATCGCGATGACGGCACGTCGGATTCGTCTGATGTGGAGAAGAGGGATGTGCCTCGCTGCACCGGCCAACAGGATCCTGACGCTGTGTTTGTTGCCGGAGCTATCTACACCCTTGTTGGCGTCCCTGAAGAGATTGCGGTGGAGCTCGTGGTTTCGGTTCTCAATGGTGTGACTACAGTTAGGGCTGAGCTTGATGTTTATATCATTGGTTAGCTTGGTGACAGGTAAGTACCAGTCTAGCTCTACGTAGTAGAGTCTAGAGCGCCGTTGTTGTCGGAGCTGGAAATATGTTAATAGTCGGGGATAATTATATAGAAAGTTGTTCTACGTAATTTATTCATTCTTCAAGTCGCGACTTGGTACTCTTCGCGCGACTTTATATTGAATATTTGCAACTGACAATAGTTCTGGTCTGCGCAGTTGGCGTGACGTTGCATACCATTTAACAATACACCTTGTGGAATAACTGGCAGTTGATCCAATACAAGGACTCGTAACGTAGCGTTCATAGTGAATAGGGTATTTCATTCAGCATATGCTATACATGCATTTACAGGCGGAGTTTACATGTCTTACTCTTCGAAACCCCCTTATCACTCTCACTCGTTGCCGTCAACGTAACAGTCGCCTCATCCGACGCCCTGCTCTCCCTTCCAACCGCCACCTTAACCGTCTTCTGTTTCCCAGCGCCCGCATGAACAAGCGCATTCGGCAGAGCAACCTTCCAGCCCTCGCCCTCGACCTTGGCTTCCAAGCGATAGATATCGGAACCAAGGTAAGCAGAGAGATCTTGAGGGTGAGGATTAGTGCTGAGTTGAGCGGCTTTCCCTGTGTTCTTCAGCTCGAAGGTGCAATATGTGGCGTTGTCGTCACGCAGGGACGGGCCGTCTTGCGCAACCTTGCCGGATCCAAGCTCGATGCCGTGTTTGGTGGATGTGGTGGTGTTGGCGGTGGCGGTGGATGCTACACCAACGATATAATGCAAGACACCAGCGTCATCACGTAGCTTCTCGAGGATGTAAAAGTGCAGACCGTTGGGCTCATCGATGTATTCGTACTCGGAGCCAGAATTTGTGCCAGCGTGGAACAGAGCATCGACGAGCTGTCTGTAGTCGCCGATGGTCCAGTATCGCGCTGTGCCATTTGGAAGGTAGAAATCAATCTGGCGGGCATCTTGAGGGTTTGCGTCAATGACCCACTGGAAGGGTTGCACGCGGTCGCTGTTCTTGGTTTTGCTAATCATTACGCCGGAATCGGGGCAGAAGGAATCAGCACCCATGCGGTCAACGACCTCGACATTGTAGTTGTTGTAGCGGCGGCCGTCGCAGAGCGGGTCAACAGTGGCGTTGCATGGTGGTGCAAGGTCGCCTGTGGAATCAAATGTGATGTTAAAACCCATCAGGCTGCCGAATGGATCGACTGATCGAGCTGTGAGCTGAGCGATCACTGGACCAGAAGCAGCAAGACCAGACCGGGATATCTGCAAGATGGGAGTCGTATCGACGAGGCCAATCTGGTGCTTGTCCCGCATCGTGTGTAGAGAACCCATAGAAGCACCTTGAACAGGCGGGATTTGCCAACGTGTGTGTGGACCTCCAGGACCGTTGAAACTACCACGAGACAACATACTCCAAGGGCCAGTATAGGTACGTCTAGCGGGGTTACTGAATGGGTTGTTGTAGTTGTCACCAATACCAAGCAGATGCGACAACTCGTGAGCAAACGTAGCCATGCCACTCGACTCTCCCTGCGTAGACGAGCCACCACCTGCGTTTGGCCAGATCGTGGAGGCTGCAGCCCACGAAGACCACTCAACGTAGCGAGTACTCGCCCAGTTGGGGAGTGAAGAGTTGCCCGGGGGCCCAAACTCAGGGGGGACATCTTCTTTGCTGAGGAACTTCATTTCACCGAATTCCTGCCATGTCGACGACTCATCCTGGCCCGCGGAGAGAATGAACGCCAATTCAAATGCGTCTGCGGTTTCGTTGCCAACTTCCGCTCGCCATGCTCCAAGAGCATCAGTGCGCAGGTCGACTGAACACGGAGGACCTTCTGGACAAGCACCTTCATTGAAGCCGCCCTCCTCATCGTCGATTCCGTACTGGTAGCTACGTGAGGGCATGCGATACGGGCCGAATACGGTCAGGTCGACTCCATATTTTCCAAACGAGTCGCCCATCCAGTACTCGTGCAGCGTATGGCCCTGGTTAATCTCACTTGGAACGTTGAGAAGATCGTGGTAGAATTTGGGTACATCGTCACGACTCAAGCCAGCAGCAAGCGGTTGCGGGTTACCGAAGATGTCGGAGTTGGCTGGGAGAGTAACCACAAAAGGCGAATCCGGATAGTCGACTGTTACCATGGCGATGTTGAAGTTCCTGTCTCTGCCCTTGCGCGATGGGTCGGCCCAGTTGGTTGTTGGTGGTGCAACATAGTCTGGTGTATGATCAGCAAACAGAACATAGCCTCACTAGCAAAGACCGTTTACTTACCATCCCAAGTCATATTATCCGGGTTTACCCAGTTCTGAGGATCAATGGGCGCAAACGGATCCGAAGACGGGCTTTGGCGAGGAAGGACGGCAGCAGAGGCAAGCCTGAGCATCGCACTCCCGAGTACCACCATGGCGGCACCTGATGACTGCTTCTTGTCTACCATTGAGCTTCTGGCGACCCCGTGTGAGGTCAAGAAGGCTTCTGGTCTAAACAAGTAGGAAAGTGAAGCAAGACGCAAAGCCTCCCAAAGTGTAGGCGACGGGAGGCTTTTGTACCATCATAGCAGCATCTGGACATGCGTACATTGGCTATAACAGACCCGTCGCAATAAAAACCCGCATCATATCGCGCTGATAGCCGCGTAGTTCAAGGCAAGGCCGGTCGATATACGGCTCGACGGTATATCCGGCTGCCTTTTGAGGCTAGTTGCGTTCCATCGGCTGGCTTGGCAGACAAGCACCTGCTTGTTGGGGGTCGATAATAATGGATCCCAGTCGCACGCATTGTTGATCAACGTATAGTGGCACCGGGACGCCACAAGCTTCTCTGGCAGATGCTTGTAGTTGACATCATCCATGTAGGAAAGTAAAGGTAAAAGGCAGTAGGCTTTGTACGCATAGCATACTATCGCTTGCGAGAAACAAAATCCCCCAACCCCCCGAGTAATAAACAGTCTTAACGAGATGAGAGTCATATCGTCTTTCTCTCCCTATACACATGTCTCACCGCTGGTGTCAACCAGAGAGAGAGTACGGTCCTGGAAAACCTCAGATTAAGCCATAAAAAAACCAGGGAGATCGAAATACCGCAAGAGTGTTTCTACCTTCGAAGTCCCGGTTCACTAGTATCATGCGTAGTCAATGTTCTAGTGGTAAACCCAGTATTGCCAGCTACAGTGTACAGAGTAGATAGATTCAAACACTAGCATATCTGCAAGCTAGACTACGCTTTTGGCATAAACCCCGGATTTGTTCGTCCTTGACAAAGAGAGTACCGTAAAGATGAATTCATATAGTAATAAAGAAAAACGTCCACAAACGCCGCCGTATGCAATGGAAGGCCAGGTAAGATGGTGCAACAAACAAAGATTGACCAATCATCGGAAACGCATCAAGACATGTGTCTTACTCATCTTGCTTGATTTCAAGCTTGGTCTTCTTAGGACTACCACTCTGGTCATCCTCAGCCTTGCGCTTGTTGGAGGAAGCGGCAATTTCGGCCTCAGTGCGGGAGTCCTTGACAACGGGGACGCCGTGAGCATCGCGCTCAATCTCCTTCTTCTCTTCCTTGGAGTTGGCGCGGTCATCCTTACCGTTCTTGAAGCGATCGCGACGCTTGTTCCAGTCGCCGCTGTCGATAGAGTCGTTGGAAGCGCTGCGGTCACGACGCCTGCGAGGAGAACGATCGCGGCGGTTGTCGCGACGGTCACTGCCACCTCGGCCACCACGTCCTCCACGATTGGATCCGCGACCACGGCCTCCGCCACGACGGTCGTTGCCTCGGCTGCTGCTGAAATTACCGTTGGCCTCGCGCTGCTTCTTGCGCTTCTCATACTTCTCCTTTTCGGTGAGTTCCCAATCTGGCTTGATTCCCTTCTCCTCGCACTTCATCATGATGTACTCCTTCTTGCCCATAGTGGTGAGCTCGTTGCCATTGAACTTGGGCTTGGGGTCGAGAACGAGGAACTGCTGTTGAGAGTCCTTTGAGTCGAATTCGACAAAGACACTACCCTTCCAGAGACCCTCTTCGTCGCGGCGCTTGCGGACCATGACTGAGCCAAAGGGGCGGAAGAACTGCTCGAGCGCAATCTGGCCAGCTTCCTCGGCATCACCGAATCCCTTGACGTAGGCGCTTGTCTCCATGGAGTTGGATGAGCTGCTCCTTAGGCGGTAGAAGAGCTCTTCTGTGGTGGGGGGTTTCTCGTCGTCGCCTTCCTTCGCTGGGACGACTAGTGGCTCTTTGCGCTTAACAGCCTCGCTACCAGGCTTGCTGTACTCGCCATCATCGACGACAACAAGATCGCTGCTGTTACGGAGGGCTTCTACGACAGCGGAGTAGGGCTTGAAGCGGCGCATGCGCTTGAAGGTGCAAATGTGGTGGATCGAGACAGGCTTGTTCTTAGGGCCCTCGAGCTCTTTGAACATGTGCTCATCGGTCGCCAGGTTCTGTGCAGAGAAGTAGAACTCGATCTGGGTGCGGTTAGTAAGCGAGACCAAGGGTGGAAAGACGGGAGTCATACTTGAGCGCGGATCTCAGCTGGATCGTCGGACTCTGGGAGATTGTCAAATTCTTGGTTTTGCCTATGCGAAGAGTCAGCTACTGCAAGCATCATGGAAAAACGGAGCTCTGGGCGTACTTCTTGTTGCGATTGTTGCCTTTGCTGCCACCGCGACCGCCTCGTCCACCACGGTTGTCGCGACTGTTGCGACCGTTGCGATCTTCGCGGTCGTTGCGGTGGGCGCCCTTTTCACTGGACTTTCCGTTAAGCTCCCATTTCTCCTCGCCGTCAGCGGCTTTGGCGTCAGGCTTGGTCTCGGTCTTGGAGTCAGACTCGACCTGGAGCGCCGTCTCAGCCTGTGAGGCTTCGGCGGGGTTGGAGGCCGCCGCAGCAGCGATTTCGGTGTCGGCCATTTTCAAAACAGTTGCAGAGTGAGTCGCGTAGGTACTGGGGAGCTGCTGCAGTTATTTTTTGTGTTTTTATAAGTAAAATGGAGAGTGGGTGAAGAGAAAAAGTGGAAGATGGGCGAAGAGCTATGGTTCTGCTAGTGGGGAAATTTCAATAGTACCAGGGTCCATAGGCGCCAAGTCTCACTCACTGCGGAATTGTTGCACGCCCGCTAATAATACCAGTCGACGTACGCCCTTTGGGAGCAGCGACAATACGCAGCCCCAATTGACTCACCCCCGCCATCACCATGCCGCGCAAGAAGCCGAGGTTTCATTCACTCAAGAAGCTCGTATGCATCCCGTTGCCCGCAGTCAATAGGGCGTCCCGGTCGCTAACCCACTGCAGAACGTTCGCCAGAATTGGTCGCGCTGGTCTCTATACGCCCTTTCTCAGCTCAAGGCACCCAATGTTACGACACGCACATATTTCCAGCAAAAATGGACGGCAAAGGCGTCGACAAGAGCGTACCACGGCGAGCACATACGAGAGAAGAAATGGAAGCACATGTTCAAGCGAAATCTCCCCGCTGTAGTGCCCATGGACCACCAATATCTCGCTCGCCACGATGGCTCTGAGCAGGCGGCGGGAAGAGGCATGGGTGCTGATGTCAATGACAAAACAAAGACGCCCCCGATGACGCCATACATGCAAATGGCCTACTATCCGCTGGAGCGGCGACTAGATACTGCCATTTTCAGGGCTCTATTCGCAAGTAGTGTGCGGCAAGCCAGGCAGTTTGTCGTCCATGGCTTGGTCAAGGTCAATGGCAAGAAGGTTCGTCTGGCAGTGTCTATATGACCAAGCGCCCCATCCAGACTGACTTCAATCTTCAGATGGTATACCCAGGCTACGCACTCAACCCAGGCGACATGTTCCAAGTCGAGCCCTCATCCGTCATGTTTGCAACCGGAGCGCCCAAGACCCGCTCATCGACCGCCCGCCGCGTGACCAAAGAGAAAGCCGCTGCCCGCGCCCAAGAACGCGAGCAGAGTGGTGGCCAAACACCCAAGCAATCAAACGACACCGACTTGGTTATCTCGCAATCTTCGCGCGAAGAACCCACACCCACGGAACTCAAAAAGCAGCTGCAAGACCTGATGGAGCAAGTCGATGGCGTCCTCGCCGAAGACGTCAAAGCAAAAGACAAGCAAAAATTCCGTGCCCTCCGCTCAAGTATACGGAAAGCCATTAGCCTATGGCGCTCCGCAAACCCAGAAACAATCTCAACCCTAGACGCCCAATTCGACTTTCTCAAGACGCAAATCGCCGAGCGCAACGCAACCATGTCTTCCACGTCATCGTCCAAAGACTCGGCATCAGCCGCAGAACCCCTCATCTCTGAGGAAGACCAAGCGCGTCTGCGATCTGCCTTTGAGAAGCTGAGGCTGGAAACTGAACATACTTCAGTTTGGAACAAGCGAGATGCTCAGGCGCCGTATGCGACACCCTGGCGGCCAAGGGATTACATGAGCGCTTTTGCATTTATCCCCCGTTACCTTGAAGTCAATCAAAATATTTGCGCAGCTGTGTACCTGAGGCATCCTGTCGCGAGACCTGGACTGGCAGAGGTCCCGACACCGTTCCATATCGAGACAGGCCAGTTGGCATTCAACTGGTACCTGCGCAACCGCTAAAGTGTATTGCGGGTCATGCGAGAGGGCGTCTGTATAACTGTAGATAAATCTGCTGCTAGTAGTGTCAATTGCATTGTATAACATTGTCTTGAACAACAAAGATATTTGACTAGATATATGATGGACCTGTTTTGTATATGCAACAGTAATCTTTCCTCGTCGGAATATGCGCCCAAACAAAAAAAAGTGCGGCTCGATGGTACGATTAAGAAAAGAAAAAGGTTGTTGCAGTCCTTTGCCAGAATCAACAAAACTCCAACGCTATGATACACGAGGGCAGTAATAATATTAGTGGATAGCGTCCTCAGACTATCCGTTGATGCTGTCATGGGGAAACATCCTGGTTGCTTGGTCTTGGAAATGACAGTGTCAAGTGTGCCTTTCAGCGTCATATCTGCAAAGCAGAGTACGACTTCAAGGATCGGGATCTATACGGGATCCCTTCGTGCTGGTTGCTCGAATTGCAAGGTATGCAGCTCTAATTGTATATAGACAACAGAGTGTATAGGTATGAAGCGTCAAGACCGGGATGTGGGTACTAGTATGAATAGCTAAAGACGGGTTGAGGGTGCCATTGCGGGCCCCAAAACGCAAAGTCTTCAATCATCGTCTGACTCTTCCTCATCCAGAGTATAGATGCTCACAGGGTACCTAAGAGTCTCTGCACTAGGTCTAGGACTCACGTCGACAACACTACTCTCAGGTGTCCAGTGGGAGCTCACTTCGGATGTCGTGGATGCGGTGGCATACTGGTGAAAGCCATTAGCGACAACGTCAGACATGTCTCGGTCGGAATCATAGCCAGGTGGCTCTGTGGGCGTGTCTGAACGATAACTTGGTAAACTCTCGGTCCGCGACAGTGGTCGCGAAGGTATCTCAGGAAGCGATGTAGGGGGATATGTGGATGCTGTTGATAGTGGGGAGAAGGGTGCGTGAGTTTGTTCCCGTTGGTAAGTGAAAGGAGGGTGATTGACACTTCTGCCCTCTTCGGCGTCTCTCACAAGATCATTGACAACATCGTGTGCTGCCCTTAATTGCCGGATCTCTTCTTGCATCGCATCTTCAAGCACACTTTCCTGCTCGGAGATGAGGGCCCTTTTCTCTTCATAGTCAGCAATGCGCTCACTGTCCCTCTGTGCCCAGTTACCGCGCCACCACTTGCTCCATGCATGCTGGCGCGCTGCTCGGCGATAGGCACGAGCGTTGATGCGTTCTTCCCGGGCAGCAGCACGCTCAGTGCGCGTTCGAAGGCTGCTACATTTGTGGCGGATTGCGGTGAAAATACAGCCGCAACAAAGAATGCCAAAAGTGATTTCAATGGCCAAAATGAAGGAAGATTCTTTGGTAGGTCTTGGTGGAAGTTCAACCTAGAACGTGTCAATTTGGATCTTGGACGAGGATAAGGAAATGATCAACATACTGCTTCTGCTTTGTATGCTTGAGGGGTTGGTGTGCTGACCCTCAAGCTATCATCAGAAACCTGTGCCACTTGTGCGACATGATCATGTGCCTGGGGGAGAATATGCTCTGGACGGCCCATGGTTATTGGCTTTTGGCTAGGCTTGTAGCGGATGTATGCTACTCTCCACGCGCCGATGGCCTTGTGGGCAACAGTCTTGAAGATGCAAGAAATGCCGTCACAATTACTCAACTCTTGTGAGACGTTTTGCGCTTCTTTTCTCAACCGCGAATGGATAATCTTCTTCTGTTCGGCAATGAGCGATTGGAGTACTTCAAGTTCACTTTCAAGCACTTTTAATTGGCGAATATCGTCCTCTAAGGACTGAGCTCCAGTAGCGGGAGGTGGGCCCTCGACGTTGTCAGAAACAATAAGACGCAGAGCCTGGGGCGGTTCGCGCCAAGATTCAGCGACGTCTGTATTGTTGGCAGAAGGGTCCGGGGCAGACTCGAGCCTGAGCAGCAACGGGGGTGAGGTATGCTGCTTGAAAGAAATGGTAAAACCAGAGGGTGCGTCAAGGGGTTTGCCGTCAATGGCCTTGATGTTAACTGTCAGGACTTGTGCAGCTTCTGTTTCTTTGTGGCCGTGAAGACAGGCCGTCTGCCATTCGAGATCCAAGTCGCGCTGCAAAAATCGTTCATTCTGTGTGAGGTGGGTGAGAGCCTGGTAGGAGCCCGAGCCGGAGGCAAAGTCTCCGGACCACTCCTGAGGAAGATGTACTCCGTTCAGGGTAACGTTGGAGGAGCCGCAGGCGTCATCTTGGGCATGGCTGGTGAAGCTCAGGATCTGGGGCGCGGGTCAGCAGGTGGGACGGTGGTGTCTAGTTGCCTGAAGTGGACCTTACTAGAGACTCGTCATTCTGGTCCGTGTGAGCCGGGCCAAGGCAGCCAATGCATGGGACGCTGAAGGTTGCTTGCGCGTAATTGTGCTGCACATCTGCAAGTAGTAACACCTGGTCAGCAGCTGCCTAGATATGGCAAAAGGCGGATGGCTATGGCTGTAGTAGTATAAGAGAGGGGCATACCGAGATGCAGCAGGTCCTCTGCTCGAGCAGCTCGACCATGGGAGTGGGGTAGGACGGCGGCAAGCACAGGAGCCGCCCACGCACACGCTGTAAGCACCTTTGACCTGAACCAAGGCATCACGATCGGACGGCCGAGACAACCACAGCCAGAGAAGGGGGCAGGAGAACTAAAGAGCGAGGCCTGGACGATAGGACAGTTGGTCCCAAGTGTGTCCAGAGAATCAGGCACCAGTCGCTACCGTCAGCACCGGCGTGGCTTAGACGTCTGAGACGACTGCTCGCGATTCAGCCACGGTTTGAGGCGTCCAGCGTGTCACGTGGTTGTGGCTGTTCCGCCAAGCCCCCGACCCACGCTTGGGCCAGCATCATCGTGCAGTCAGTCGAGGGCCGTGATATTCGCCGCCTGCTCCCACTTTGACAACGCGTATATATCAATTGAATCGGCCAGCGCCATGGTATGTCCCTCCCGGAGTCGCACTGCCTTCTCTCGCAACTTGGCTGACTCGCATGCCAGCTTCCCTTAGGCCTTCTCACGGCCGCGACCGGCCACCCAATGCTCGTTGAGCTCAAGAGCGGCGAAACACTCAATGGGCTTCTAGTCAATTGTGACACTTGGATGAACCTTACCCTGCGAGAGGTCGTACAAACAAGCGCAGATGGCGACAAGTTCATGAGGCTGCCAGAGATCTATGTTCGCGGCAGCACAGCACGTCTACACCCCCCTTCCAAGCCAGCGCGAGACTAACATGGGCCAAGATAAAATACCTACGGGTACCCGACGAGATTGTCGACATTGTAAAAGAACAACAGGCCAAGGACCAAGCGAATCGGGGTGGACGAGGAGGCGGCATGCACGGGCGAGGAGACCACCGCGGCGATCGTGGTGGGGGAGGTAGGGGAACGAGGGGCAGAGGACGCGGTCGTGGCAGAGGCGGTGGTGGTGGAGGAGGAGGAGGTGGTGGCGGCGGTGGTGGTGGGGGTGCTTGAACGGTCTCACATCCATCTGGTTGCTTTGCCCTATGGTACATGCCATGCATAGACCCACCGACCGGTCTACTCAGGGCGACGTTGATACGGTGATATTCGGGCACAACATTGCAGGACTGTAATGGCAGTCGTCGTCGACTACCTTGTCTTGCCGGGCGCATTCGCACTTGGTTACATCACGAGATACCCTGATTGTCAACTTCTACATGGGCACTGTTATTGGCCTTGTAGAACCACACATCAAGCCTCAAGCCTTGCTGCTCCTTTTCGTAGCTGTAGCAGTCTACCGACTAGCCTCGACACATTGTCAGCCATGCGAGCTCCTACCGCCGCAGCAAGTATTTACCATGTCCACCATCCATGTGCTTCTTGTGTCTAGTGAGACGGCTCGCGAAGCAACTCAAGCGTGTGTATAGTTCTGTGCCGTGTTGGCGTGAAGCTTCATCTTCCTCGGCCGTTCTTGACTTGTAATTTTAGAATTGTTATTCTTATATATATGGCTCAGGCCCAACATGTGCTGGGGCGAAAGTAAAGAATACCAAAAAGCCAACAACCCCTCATAAGAAGTCAACTCGTTGCACAATTGAAGGTATCAAAAGCCAAGTAAGGGTCCAGACTTTGTTGCAGAGAGTAAAGGTACCCATATCAAACCTCGCCATTCTTCCCAGTGTCAGCAGATTGCCTAGCAACATCCAAGCAAATGATATGAGAACGCTGACTTGGTAAGCATGGCCAAATTAGGACAAAATTGACTTTCGCGACCATACTCGCTGACGTGAGGTAGGAGAAGTCATTCTCTGGCACGTAGACATGTCGCGCTAGGGAGAATGACTGGCGGCGGCAGCAGATTTCTTGTCAATTCGGAGGGATCTGTCGGTACGTCCCGGGAGGAGCGCATAGCCTACATAGACTAACCTGAGGCACTTCTCGCTATGTGGGCCATCTCTGTGTTACTTTCAGTGGCAACGCATGCAACGATGAGTCTGTTGGTGTTGTAAGTAGAGACAGTGCAAAGGGGTGTATGCATTGTGCCCAATTATAAAAAGAGCAGTAATAGTTAATAACGATGCTAATATACACGCCTAATCGGCAGTTACTCCAGAGCCCGTGCTTTCACATGAATCGTACTAGCTATACAGAAATCACAATCACCTCAGCTGCTTAAAAATATTTCAGGAAGTACTTGTAGTAAGTACGACATCTTCTTAGTTAATACTTAGATGTGATATTTTGAATCTTTCTCATTGTGGGTAGCCCTTAACTATAGAACGCATTGCGACAACATGTCAAACCGTCTCTTATCGTCCGGCCCATGTCGAAGCTAGTCATCCAGCTGAAATAATAGAAGGCTTTTCCACACAGACTATACGCCAAATCTTGACTAATCGGACCAGCGCATGGAGCTTCCATATCTCGACTGACTCCTCAATCCCCAGAACCAAGACTCGGTGGCGTTGCGGGGTATGTACGTACGGAAGGCAATGTCGGGAGGCAACCGGACGAAGAGATTTACTGTGTGAATGAGTGGAGAAGAAAGGCTTCAGTTCAGATTCCGACATTACTACCCGGTGACAGGCTTAGACGGGGTCCTTGACAGCGGTTGACCTAGACCCCCCGTCGATCATAGTTAGTTCTGGGGGAGGTTCTGCGTATTGGCCAGGTGGGCCGATTAGTGTTATGGTTCACCTAGAAAGGGCTTAGTCTCCCCCAGCTACGGCTCTTGGCATCCACCCGGCCCGACAGGGGGTGTGCTGACAGGACAGTAAGATTGGGCAGGGCCCCGGTAGTGCTGGAATCAGACTATAAAGCGCAATTGCGGCATTGCGACCTGGCATGGGCCGCGGCAGGTAAGGACTTTGTCTCTCTCTCTATCACTTTCTTCGACAAACCTCTCTGCCTTCACCATGGCTCATGCTCACGCCGACTATGTGCCTGAAAAGTACGAGGCTGGCCAGTACTCGCCCAGCCAGCAAGAAGATCTCAAGTCCGAACTTCCGCACGAAGTGGCTGCTCACGGCCATGCTACTACAGACGCGTAGGTGCCCAGTCGCTGTATCCAAGTTGCGCGTTTTGTTTTCTAATGAGCAATTTAGCTATGGAGAGCCCGTGATCCAATTTGACAGGAAGGCTGAAGCGCGACTGAAACTCAAGATCGATCTGTATATCATTCCCACAGTCGCTCTCCTCTACCTCTTCTGCTTCATCGACCGGGCAAACATTGGGAATGCACGTCTGGCCGGCCTGGAAAAGGACCTCCATCTCAAGGGACATGACTACAATTCCGTCTTGTCCGTCTTCTACATCAGCTACATCATCTTCGAAATTCCGTCGAATATGGCTTGCAAATGGATGGGTCCGGGGTGGTGTGCGTATTGCCTCTACAAATCGGCATTGGGCGCAAAGTACTAATAACTTCGATTGTAGTTATTCCCATCATCTCGCTTTGCTTTGGCGCAGTCTCGATAGCAACGGCTTTTGTGCATACCCAAGCCCAAGTATCAGGCGTCCGGTTTGTTCTTGGGATGTTTGAAGCCGGAATGTGAGTGCCTTCGGTGGCTTTGTTGAGATATCAGCTTACGGATTTTTTGTAGGTTGCCCGGCATCGCATACTATCTATCGCGTTGGTACCGCCGCTCTGAACTTGCATTCAGGCTGTCCCTTTACATCGTCATGGCTCCCCTTGCTGGCGCGTTTGGCGGTCTTCTCGCATCAGCCATCTTGACTCTGGATTCGTTTGGATCTCTAACACGATGGCGAATGATCTTCGCCATTGAGGGAATCGTTACCTGTGGACTTGCAATCATTTCCTTTTTCACACTTACGGACCGACCCGAAACTGCGCGCTGGTTGACACCGGAAGAGAAGGAATTGGCAATCGCTCGTGTCAAGTCTGAGCGTTTAGGTCAAAAAGAGGTGCTTGACAAGGTGGATAAGAAGAAGTTTATGCGCGGAATCTTTAATCCCGTGGTGTTGACCACAGCCTTCATCTTCCTACTGGACAACATCACCGTGCAGGGCCTGGCTTTCTTTGCGCCCACCATTGTCCGCACAATCTATCCAACGAAGACGGTTGTCTCGCAGCAGCTTCACACGGTCCCGCCGTATATTGTGGGGGCATTCTTCACGGTTCTTCTACCATTCCTCAGCGGGCGATTCGACAGGCGTATGATCTTCTTCATCATTGGAGCGCCTTTCATGATGGTGGGCTATATCATGTTCTTGGCAAGCAAAGATGGCCAAGTACGCTACGGAGCTACCTTCTTGATCGCTTCAGGAGCATTTTCCTTTGGCGCGCTGTGCAATGCGCAAGCTTCAGCCAACGTTGTGTCTGACACGGCAAGGGCGTCTGCCATTGGTGAGTTGCTCGAATCATGGATTAAACACAGAATCACTACTAACATGTATTCTCAGGTACTGTAGTTATGCTTGGTAATATTGGCGGGCTGATTTCGACATGGAGTTTCCTGCCGACCGATGCGCCAAATTATCCCATTGGCAACGGACTTAATCTAGCCACCAGCAGCGTGATTCTGATCTCGAGTATCGTGCTTCTATTCTGGATGAAGCAGAGCAATAATAAGCGGCAGACTGTGGACGCTGAAGCAGAATTGGCAGGCAAATCCCAAGAGGAAATTGAGGACCTAGATTGGAGACATCCATCTTTCCGATGGAAGGCTTAAGCATGTCATGGATTTGGTCAGGGTACTTTGTGCACAAGGCAGGATATGATCACTCGATGAACTTGCGTAGTCCAATTGCAATACGAAAAACAAAAGTAAACGTGCACCCGTCGTGGTCGTGAAGCTAGTACATAGTACCTGATGACCGAACAAAGTCCGCAACTGATAGGCGTTCCCCCCCCCCCGCACAGTGGAGAACCCCTGCAAGCCGCGTCGACCTCGGTTCGATCCTCACTTATCGTGCATGGCCGAGTCGCATGTCGACATGAGAAAATAAGTTAATCGCCCCGTCCAGCTCCAAGCTCTGTGTTGTGTCTTTTTTGATTGCTGCTACTTGAATTATCTTCTTTCTTTTGCATCTTTAATTCACAAGCTAGAGAACATGCCTTCGGCCGTTGTGATTAAGCAGGTTCCAGGCAAGCCAGGACAGGTTTACTACCCGCTGGAAAAGATCACCGTGCCTGAGCCCACGCCCAAGGAAAACGAGGTAATGGCTCTCTGCCCGCACATTTGCCCACCACACCAGCTAACTATCTTCTACCCCAGGCCGTCATAACCCTCACAGCAGCCGCCCTCAACCACCGCGACCTCTTTATTCGCCAACACCTCTACCCTGGCACCAGTTTTGGCGTACCTCTTCTCGCAGATGGCGTCGGCATCGTAACAAGCACAGGCTCTTCGGCGAAGGCAAAGACATGGCTCAACAAGCGCGTCTTACTGAACCCCGGCACAGGCTGGAAGGACAACCTCGAAGGGCCAGAGCACCCAAAGGGATATGCCATCATGGGCGGAACCAAGACCAATCCCGTGGGCACACTCCAAGATGTGTGCGTGCTTGACGCAGGGGAACTAGAAGAATGCCCCGAGCACCTGAATGACGAAGAGGCTGCTGCGCTCCCCCTCACAGGGTTGACCGCATGGCGCGCATTCCAGGTAAAGAGCGGCAATGCCGTTGCTGGCAGGAACATCTTGGTCACGGGCATTGGCGGCGGTGTCGCCCTTATGGTGCTGTCTTTTGCTGTCGCCCGTGGATGCAACGTCTACGTCACCAGCGGGAACCAAGACAAGATCGACAAGGCTGTCAAGTTGGGCGCCAAGGGCGGTGTTATCTACAAGGAGAAAGACTGGGACAAGAAGCTGCAGGCTATACTACCAAAGGACAGGCCGTACCTTGATGCTATTGTCGATGGCGCTGGAGGCGATGTCATCAAGGTTGGAAGCAAGCTTCTAAAGGTCCGTTGCCATCTACTTTGCATATTCTCTTTCTTTCCAAAGACTGACGAGTTTATTTCTAGGCTGGCGGTGTTATCTCCGTCTACGGCATGACCGTCTCGCCCAAGATGGACTTCCTCATGTCCGCCGTGCTGCGCAACATTGAAGTCCGTGGCTCTACCATGGGCTCGCGCAAAGAGTTTGCAGAAATGGTCCAATTTGTGCGCGACACAAAGATGAAGCCAGTTGTGAGTCGCAGTGTGCACGGATTGGATATTGAAAAGATCGACACGCTCTTTGATGATATGAAGAACGCAAGCCAGTTTGGAAAGTTGGTTGTTACTCTTGGGAACGGGAAAGCAAGTAAGTTGTGAGGGGTATAGTAGAATCGAGAAATTGAATCCTTGTCCCTAGCCGTACCGGTGTTGTCTCACAGGAGGGCTAGTAGGATGGTTTCATGCTAAGCAGATCTATTTTAAGTTGTGGCTCTGGCTCTGTTTTCTTTTTGGAAGCCATGACAGCCGCCATCACATTCTCTGCATTCCCTCCCATATGTGTCAAAGTTCATTTGGAATACATCCACCATTCTCTCACACTATGCACGGCCGATGTCACATGGACTTACCAGGCCATGTGGCGCGGAATAATTGAAAATAACCCGGTAAGGCCGTACATATGACAGTTTGGTACAGCTAACTTCGACACATGCTCAGACCACAATGATAGATTCATATATCTCTGCACCGACTGCGACAAGGCCATGGCTTCTCCTGGCTTCATGGCGTGATGCAAAATAAGGTTGGACAGTGAACTGTGGGAAAAGTACATCTCGCAGGATGAACAGGATGCGACTTTCTGAGAAACAGCATGCGGCACTTTTGCATCTACATGCGAAACGGAAAAGAAGTGAATCAGCAAATACCCATGTTTCTCCACACGCTTCCCGAGGAGGATGGAAACCCACGCCTGCAGATACCACCTGAAATTGCCTATAGGCGGTTGTGGAACCATCTGATCTAGAAACAGCTGTCAAGCTGTCAGCCAAGCCAGCACTATACAGTACACACCCGCATCTACTATCTAGGTCCACATACTAAACCTAAACCCATCAGGAAACACATTTACCAAATCCAAGCCGATAGTCTAAAGCCGGGTCCAACAGCCGACGCAGGAACAACAGACAACCAACATGATGACGAAATCTCGGTTCAACCCACATCTCTCAACAGATGAAGCACGAGCAAAACGCGCAACGCACGTTTTCATGCCCCAAAAACAAGGGTAGTAACGGGGGGACCCAAAGAACCGAGTCCAGCCCTCTCCTCGGAGCGCGTTGCACATGCTCTCTTTCTCTCTCTTTTCAAAAACAACGTAGTATCCACAGTTAACCACTTTTGTTTCGAGTCAAGTCTTTTTTTCTTCGTCAGCCAGTAGGTAGCGCGCTTCGAGTCTAAGTTCGTCCTTGTCCACACGGCTACACGCAGGGTATCTCGTGATACATTGATACACACGCGCTCTCGTGGGAATTCGGGGTTTTTTTGCATGCGTGTTGTTATTGTCACTCCCGCTGTGTGTATGAGCGTATACAAAGTAGTCAGCCATGAAGTTCAACCTAGCAGCAAGCGTAAAGCACGTAACCCGAGTCCTCAACCCCGATCTCGAAATCCCAGACAGCAGCGGTAGTAAAAGTAGCACTGCTCCTCCGCCTGGTGCTACTCGAACCTCATCTTCTTCATCTCCCTCGCCACCCCCATCCTCCGCTTCCTCATCCCCAGCAGCAGCAGCAACAGCAACAGCACCATCCGTCCCATCATCCCACAATAGAACCAAACACTCCTCCATGCGCTCCTCCCTCTCCGTCCGCCGATTAAGCCGAAGATCCGCTTCAATACGCACACAACAAGCGCCTCCTCCACCACAACAACACCCACCATCAACATCAACCCTAGAAGCCAAAACCGCTCTCCCCGCCGCCTTCCAAAGAGACTACTCCGCCACGGCAACTCAAGGTCCAACTCTGCGATCATGCTCTCCCCCTATATCTTCCACACGCCGCACCCGCGCTAGCACAACAACCGTTATACCGGGCCGTAGCACGTACCGCAGCAAGCTGGATCCCGCCGCTACCGCCGAAACAACAACTACGACTATTACTGCACCGTATTTCGGGCTCACAGGCCTATCTTCTCCTACCTCTCCATCGACTTCAGGCGTGCCCCCAGCACCAGCACCAGCACCAGCGCAAGAAGCAACAGCAACATGTCTCTGCGGCGCAGTCCACCTCGCGTTTCCTACCACGACACCAGGTCTCGTAGCGTCCTTTGTATGTTACTGCGCTGATTGCAGGAAAGGAGGGGCCGAGGCGGGTGTTGTTGTTAAAGACGAGTATGTCCCCCCCCTTTCCTATACCCCCTTTCCCAATTCAAAAGCCCCGAAACATAAGCTTAAAGGGCTGCCAACTAACGCTGAGATCAGATACTTAAAACACCTTCGTGGAACTTTGAATCTCTCTTCCTTCTCACAATCCGTATTTACCCCTTCGAGCCACAGCTCCACCACGTTCTTCTGTCAGGCGTGCGGATCGAATATGTACAGGGTTGGTGTTGCATTTCCCGGTTGCGCGATTGTGCGGCTGGGTACGGTGGATGATGCACGGCTTGCTGAGGGCATGTTGAGGCCGACACGGGAGCTGTGTGTGAAGGAGCGGGCGAGTTGGGCGGGTGGGGTCAAAGGGGACGAGGTGAAGAGGAGAGTGGGGTTGTTTTCATGATTTCGATTTATATGGGTACAAAGAGGAGTTTTGGGGGTTTAGCGATTTTATACGAGGTTATCTGAATTATGGGGTCATGGCAATCTTTGAATTGGGGAAGGGGGGAGTCTGGATGGGATTTCAGTTGCGTCACTGGTGTTCGGATACGTAACGGCGATATGCTAGATCTTTTACGGCAGAAGAGGAATATGGAGTCACTGGCCAGCTAGCCAGCAAATCTGCATAGCATTGTTGAATTTATTAAATGTGTACCAACTATCTACTTGGTATCTCCAGTGTCACTCACGTCAATTCATCCCATCCTATGCCATCTCGTAAGATCAAACAAAAACGCCATGCTCATGCAAAGAAGGATTCAAAAACTCGGGGGAAGGGGAGAGAAAGCTACAAACACCATGGTGTCTCACGACGCGGTGTTTGCCTGCATCCATCGATCAACGTCATCAGCAACATCCATGTCTGCATCCGCGCCACCAATCGGTTGGTCATCATCTTCTTCGTCCCCGATTTCCACTTCACCAACGGTAGCAGAAGAATTGTCATCATCTTCAGCCTTGGCATGAGCTGTACCTACAGTTGTGGTAGAAGGTTCAAGACCACCAAATGCGTCGTTAGAAACCCATGCAAGATCCAACTTGCCCACGTCAGGAATCTGAAGTGACTGATCGAGAAACATCTCTGCCTGGTAACGCTCCTTGAATGTAAGGATAAGAGCATCGTCTTGCTCTGGATGGCGCTCGATAGACGTGCAATCGGGAACGTTCTATACATCTCATCAGCAGAAGAAAACACATCACACACACATATCCACTTACCAGAAGATACTGCCTCAGAGCCTCATCTCTCGGAGTGTCAGCCTCAATGCCAGAAACAGCGAGTCGTCTAGGCCTGTTGTCAAGTCTCTTGACGGCACTACGACCCGGGAATGCGGACGCGACAAAGCTAGACCCACGACCATACGCGCCCCTATAGGATGTGGAGCCTCTACCACGGGGAGGGAAGGGGGCAAAGCCGCGACCTCGATAACTCCCACGGAATGCGCCATAGCCACGGCCACGTCCTGAAGAGTCGCTAGGGTCGTGTTGGTCAAAGAGCTCGGCAGCTTCGGCTTGAAGAGTCTCCAATGTCTGCGAAAATTCGTCAGCCTTATCGCCCGATAACTCTGCGAGCTGTCGTCTAATTTCCTGCATCTCTTCATTCTTCTCTTTCAGCTGTCGCTCAATCTCCGCGGCCCTAGCATCGGCTTCCTCCTCCCTTCGACGACGTTCTTCAAAAGCCTTCTGTGCTTCTGCCTGTCTGATCGCAATGGCCTCGAGGTCAAGTTTCTCCTCTTCTGGGTGCTCCTCCGGTCGGTACCAATAGACTTTGACGAACCGATTCTCAAAGATGGCTTTTGGGCTACTGTATGCTCGACTTGCAGCAGAATGATCGCTGAACTTAATGATTGCCAATCGTTTGTCGGCGTGAATGTCTACTTCGTCGATACTGCCAAACTTCGAAAAGTAACTTCGTACACTATCTTCATGGAGGTTCTCTGGGGGGATTTGTTCAACCACCAGCATAGTGTTTGACGGATCGCGTGACGGGCCGGATTGGGAGAATGGCGCGCGTGGTTTACCGCCCTTAGTGGTGCGACGTCGAGTCTGTGACAATGCGCGGTTGCCCGTACCTCGATGAGGCTGTACAGCAAGATACGACTGTTCCGGGTCATACTCAGGGATTTCGTTGGCTGGAACGGCAACAGCAGCGTCGCTATGTTCAAAGGGGCAAAGGGTTCCCATAGCGCAAAATCCCTTTTCATAATAGTTGGTACACAAGCCCTTGGAGCCCTTGGGGCCCTTATGACTAGAACTATTACCTTGGGTGTCTGAGGAGAAGGGTGACATGCCAGGAAGATTTGCGCCAAAAGCTGCAGCCATTGCAAAGAAAGCCATAGGATCTGACGGGTCAAATGGAAGAGGTCCTGGCGGGGGCGCTGGAAGTTTGGCAAAGTTTGGCATGCCACTCAAATCATACGAAGCGTTGTGTTGAGTGTCCCTAGCTCTTGCGTTTCTACCGCCCCTACGCGCCGTCTGCTTCGATGGTCTGTTACCACCACCCCCGCTGTGATTGTAGTGCGGGTCCTGACCCTCCCAAAACTGGCTATTGTCCTCTTCCAACATCTTGCGTTTCCTTGATTGACTTGATCCATCCTGCTGCATTCCCTGCGCGGCCGGTCGGTCGAGTAGACGATGTGATGTGGGCGGAAATCTAGTCGCGGCTGGACCTCTCGGTGCGTTGAATGGCACGTTTGAGTGATGAGGTTCATATTCAAGATTCGTACTGCCTACTATGGACTGTATAGGTGCAGAAGGTGGAGCGTTTGGAAGATAACTCTTGTCGTTCAACGCCGCGATCACGTCATTTACGAATGGCTCAGTATCTGTTTCTTGTTAGTCACTAATGCCCTGCGCGACCAGCATGTGCGACATTGTCTGACTGCTGCTTACTGTCTTTCCCGAGGAAATCTTCCAATGACTCGATACAGCTGCGCCGAACGTTTGCTTCGGTTTCGTCAACGGCAACAAGCGCAGCAACGTAATCAGCAAGAACCCCAGCCTCAGCGTCCGAGCTGTATTTATTGTTAGCACTCCGAGTCCAGGACTTTCGCGACAGCAACTATCGGCTCTTACTTACATGGTCTCGAGCTTCGGCAGCAGCCAGTTCTTGAAAGCGGCCTGGTCCTTTTCCTGAAGCAGCATCATGACTCTGACTCCAAAATTCCCGCTCTCCTCCGAATTACGCGATTCGGAAGGTAGGAATAAGTAAACTTTTGCTGCAAGTTGAGGGTGGATTCCGCGGCACGGGAGTTGAGCCAAGCGCACGTAATTCGCGTTGTTCTTAGCGCGACCAGAGGTCATAGCTTCGCTGACCCGTGAGCACGTGACTAGACCTGCCCCTCCACATTCACTGCTCCTACCAGCAACATCACGTTCACTGCTCACACTCACACACGAAAATATCAGAGCAACAGCCAACGATTTTTGTGCAACATAGTTTGGTTTTCTCCAACTACACGACACCAAGAACAGGTAAGGAAATAACGGGTCATCATCCGTATCTTTCGTGCAAACCCGCAAAAACCTGACCGTTATGGGCGAACCGCCCGGACCGACATTTACTAACTCTAACTGCTCTTGAAATAGAGGGGAGCCATTTGCGTCATACATAGACCAGCGGCCACGAGCTTGCCCATGACTGAGGGATGACCCAGAGTTGCGAGGAAAGGAAATCTAGTGCTTTTGACAGTTTTCCTTTATAGCTTGTCGTAGTACTGCGAAATTTGTTAGCACATGATTGGATGGTGGAATCTAGAGAGAAACTTACGTTGGAGACGTCAGGCACCTCAACCTTGATACCCTTGCGCTTACGCATGTCGGCAACAATCTTACCAACCATGGTGGTGGCATCAAGTGGCGATCCACCCTGGAGAAGCTGCCAGTGGTCGAAGACTTGTTGAGGGAAGGCCTGTCCACCGGTGGCGGCACGGAGATCGGCAGTGAAACCGAAAGACTCGTTGACGGGAAGGTATGCCTTGACGTTGAACAGAGGAGTACCGACACGCTGGTTCTCCTCGAAAACGTGACCTCTTCTTCGGGTGAGGACACCGTAAATACCACCCATGGCTTGCTCGGGAACCTGGATTTCGACGAGGTAGACGGGCTCGAGCAGGGAAGGCTCGGCAAGGAGAGTGGCGGCGTAAAGGACACGACGCGCGGTAGGGATGATCTGGCCACCACCACGGTGAATGGCATCAGCGTGGAGAGTGACATCCTGGATGTTGAAGCGGACGGAACGCATGGGCTCCTCAGCAATGGGACCTTCCTTAGTGGCCCACTGGAAACCAGAGACGACAGAGTCCTTGATTTCGCTCAGGTACTGGACGGCCTTGGTCTGGTCAATGAGCAAGTTGGCACCAGTGGTGTCGGGACCGAAGCACCAAATCTTACGGGCATCGGTGACATCCCAGCCGTACTCGTCAGCTAGGATACGGGCACGAGTCTTGATATCGTCACGAGGAGCGATCTTGCCGCTCTCAATGGCCCTGGAAACCTCCTCATCCAAAGGCTGAGCAGTGAGGTAGAGACGGTTGTGCTTGTTGGGCGACTTGGACAGAGCAGTGATGCTGGAAGTTGCGTTGACAGTCTCACGGTACTGGACGACGGGGTCGGAAATGCGGAGAGGAACACCAGCGTGGTCCTCCTCGAGATCCTTCAAGCAAATCTCCAAGTGCAGCTCACCAGCACCAGCAACAACGTGCTCACCGGATGGCGAAATGTAGGTCAGAACGCAAGGATCCGACTTGGATAGACGCTTGAGACCTTCGACCAGCTTGGGGAGATCCTGAGCGTTCTTGACCTCGACGGAACGCTGAACGACGGGGGAAACGGAGAACTTCATAACCTTGAGGTTGTGGGCAGTCTCGTTGGTGGTAAGAGTACCAGACTTGAGCAAGAACTGGTCAACACCGACAAGACCGAGAATGTTACCGGCAGGGACATCCTCAATGGGCTCGACGAAACGGCCCATCATGAGAATAGTGCGCTGGATAGCCTTGATGAAAAGGTCGTCCTTCTTGCCAGGGGTGTAGTTAGGACCCTGGATGCGGACCTTGAGACCAGACTTGACGGTACCAGAGAAGACACGACCGAAAGCGTAGAAACGACCCTTGTCGGAAGTGGGCACCATCTTGGAAACGTACAGCATGAGAGGACCCTTGGGGTCACAGTCACGGATACCAATGGCGTTGACATCGTCGTGGGGACCCTCGTACAGAGTCTCCATGCGGTACCTCTGGGCAGTGACGGGAGAAGGAAGGTGGAGAACCATCATCTCGAGGAGAGCGTCAGCGGCGGGAAGGAACTTCCTCATGACGACCTTGAGGAGAGCCTTGCCCTCAAGATCCTTCTCATCGGAGGTGAGCTTGATCTCAAGCTTCTCGAGGAGAGTTGGGATCTCATCCTTCTTGAAGTTCATGACAGCGTTGAAGATGCGGAAGATAGGGTCCAGAATGAAGGTGTTGAACGAACGCTCAAGAGTCTGGCCTTCGTGGGTTCCAACCTTGGTCCACTTCTTGGTCTTGGGGTTGAAGTAGTTATCGCCCTAGTACTGGTTAGCAGCTTGCAATCTCCTCTCGAAAATCATGCACTTACCCAGAGACGGTCCATCATCTTGTTCTTGTCAACACCAAACTTCTTCGCGTACCTAGCAGCGAACTGGCGGATAGTGAAAGCCCAGCCGTGGAGACCGGAACCGAAGGCGATGGTACCCTTCTCGGGGTAGACCTGGACATCACCGAGGGTCTTGTCGAAGTAGGTGGCAATGACGACGTTGACGGACTCGATGACACGAGAGAAGTTCTGGTACAGATCCTCCTTGGAGAGTTGGAGCTCGAGAAGAGCGCGATCGACCTTGTTGATGATGACAACGGGCTTGATACGCTCACCAAGAGCCTGACGCAGGACAGTCTCGGTCTGGACACAGACACCCTCAATGGTGTCGACGACGACGAGAGCACCATCGGTGACACGGAGAGCGGCAGTGACCTCGGACGAGAAGTCAACGTGACCGGGCGAGTCGATCAAGTTGATCAAGAAGTCGTTCTTCTCAGTCTTGACAGGGATGTCCTTAAGGTCCTCTGCGTCGTTGAGCTGGGCGTACAGGGAGATGGCAGTCGACTTGATGGTGACACCACGCTCCTGCTCGTCGGCACGAGTATCAGTGAAACGAGCCTCACCAGCCTTGGCAGCTGAGATAATACCGGCACGCTGGACAAGCGAGTCGGTGAGGGTGGATTTTCCGTGATCGACTGTGGTGGGGTACGTCAGCCATGTGTCTTGCCACGCATTGCGGGGTTCTGTCGCGGGCGCTTACCGTGAGCAATAACGGACATGTTCCTAATGTTCTTAGGATCGTCCATGAGACCACGGATCTAGAGGCATTGTCAGTATGCAATTCCTCAGGTTGATGTTGTTATCGTCATCGTCGCTGCCGCCAATTGTGGCGCGATGCGGGGTGCTGCTGCGTGTGCGAGCGCGCTACGTACCTCCTCGACCGTGAAGCTGTCATGCCGTTAGCCATGGTTCCCTGATTGCCAGACAAGACGAGGACAGAGGCTCCTGGTGTCTCAAGACGAGCGAGAAAAAAAGTGGCGACTTACTTGACCATTTTGGCGGTGTTTTTACTGTCTTCTTTTACGAAAATTCAGTAGTGGGGGAGCAACGAATACCCCGCTTTGAACGCGCGGGCTCGATGGATGGAGTGGGAGTTGAGCTGAAGTCTCTGGCGCAGCAGTCGACCAGAGTCAGACAGACGAGAGGGTGATTGTAAGCCGTAGAGGCGGGCAGGCGTCTGAGTGAGGAGAGTTCTGCTGCGAGGGGGAGCGAAGGTTTTTAGTAGGGCTAGTGGTGGGGTCGGTCGCGCTTTCCTCGCTAATGCACGGCCCATGATGGTGGCGCGAGGTAACCTGCAATGCCCAAAGCAGATTGTCTGCAGCGCCCTTTGCCCATTGCACTCTGCCCGCCCCCTCTTTCTGCTTACAACAGCCTATATTTGCCTCGTGCTGTCCCATGGACGGGCATTGGATAAATGACTCAATTACAATTGCTGTCTACGCAGACGGGCTATCGTCATCCACTCCATCTGGGGTTGCCGCACTGCAGCCCAATGCATGTCATTGGATAGTGCTGCGACACAAGTGGAGACTGATCCGACTTGAATATCGTCACTGCCCCCTCCAGCCACTGGGTATTCTACATCTGGTCTTGCAGCGCCCAGATGCCAGACTTCATCTTGCCTAATTGTCCATTATAAGGCATCGCAACGCCCTCGCGCCCAGACGTCTTTCCATGGCTCTACCTTCTCTTACCCTATCACTACCGCAATTGTTTTTGGGTAGTCTCTAATGCGCCGGCGCTGCGCCCCAAAGCGACTTTCTGCAGCACCAACGCGAACGCCTGTTGCCGTGGAACCGCATGCATTCAAACCGTCTGGGCGCTCTAGGCCTAATCTACGCCCTTGTCACTCTTTTCTGACTAGATTTCCTTCCAGATTTATGGTTGTGTCCGTACTCAGCGCCAATTTGCTCATAAGCGCTTAGAAATTAGATCGTCACAGGCACCTGAGACGTTGGAGCGATATTAGAGCCCATCGGGCTTATCTCCGTTATGTCCGGTGAAAATTCCAAGAATGTCTCGAGACACATGAGGAAAGGAAGTCAACACAAAGACTGGCATTGTACAACTACACGATTAGTGAATTTGCATCGTTTCCTATAACGCTTATCAATCCAAACTGGCTTTTGATCCGTGTTTTTTAGTAGCTTGTAGTATTGCTCTATCACTACAGCTAAAGCAGAGCATATGGCTCTTGAGCATCACACCAAAGAAAGACTTGAGCTTAGTGCTGAAGTATACTCAGAGGCCATTGCTAACCAAAAACAACCTCAGTAAAGACTGCTCTCATCTGTGCATACCGCTTTACATACGCTTCCTCTGCTTGGTAGAAGTGGACAACCATGGTCATGGAGGCGAGCGTCTAGGTTATAGAGATGAACCATCAGAACCATGCCCCCTCCTCCACCCTTGCCTATGCGCTGACTGTTTCAACCGCCACCATCATCGTGCTGTCTTCATCAGCTGCGTCGGTTTTCGGCTCCAGACCTTGTCTGTTGATGGTCGTCGTTTCCTGCTGTGCACTCTTCCACCTTGAGACGATCCTTGCCGTATGCGTTTGATTACGCCCAATGTATAGCTCCGCATATTTTACTCTTGTTCGTGTGGTTCCGTACTTATCTCTCTCCTGCGTCCCTAGATTTCAAGCATGAACCATCCGATGGGCAAGTAGACGTTGCCGTCGTCAAGGAAACCAACCGCCCGACTTTCCTTGTTTTGAATAAGGTCTGTCTCGGTGGTCTCAAATAGACTTAGTCCCTCGCTAATCTCCGGATACAAAAAAGACCCCATCCCAGCTGTTCAAATCGCTGGGACAATCTTGTCTAGCAACTTTTAGCTTCCCTCTACCATATCAAACAGGATGGCATAAAGCCATGTGGTGTGTTAAATGCTTATTCTCGACGCACTCGTCCAACTCGTATCCTGTCTCTTTCCCTGTCATCGGGCCTAGTGTCATTGGACACCTCCACCTCGTACTCCTCTTCTTCGACCTTGTGAAATTTTTCTACTTCAGCGCGCTCGTCATGGGCTCTGGCAGCATCCAGCATAAACCTGACTGTGCCATTCTGACCACGGATCCCTATAGCCGACTTGGGTGCGTGCTCAGTGCCAGGTGACAACGTGACAGGAGTTGCTGGTGTCAATGGGCTTGCAGGGCCGATGCCATTTCGAGATTTTGTACCATTGCCCGTAACCCCGGTTTCTGATGCCGCCTCAGACGCATATTGGGAATAGCGAGGAATATTTGCAGCCGACGCTTCCTGGTTCAATCCAATACGAATGTTGAGAAAGTGCTCGAGCGTGTAATTGGGCCCAACGGATGTCGCGGCACGGTGGTGGGTGTAAAGGTCCAAGAGATCAAGCAGCGTTTCCATGACCTCTGCCCGGCTAGTTGCCCATGTGTTGTATTTGACAGGTCCTGCATCGACAAACTTTGTAGCGTCCTTTCCGTGCAGTCTCGCCGCCAGCTCTAGACACGCAATGGCCAGGGTTGGCGTGGATTGTTTCAGCGGCGCAAATGTCCTGTACAAGTCGATGCTCAGGTTCCAAGTTGTCTTCGCCTCGACGTTGGCGTCAAATTTTAGGGCTCGAGCAAGTTTGACCATGACTTTTTGAGGATATCGGTTGCGGAAGTCAAAACCGGCACTTTCGAGCATGAGCCGTTCGAGACCGATGATGAGTTTGGAATGACTGTCGAAGCGCTGGATACAATGTCAGCCCCAAGATTGCCGTAGAAGTACGGGTTGGGAGGTGGACGAACAGGATCATCGCTACTCAGCGTTTCCCCGGGCGCAGCTTTGAGGTTCCAATGAGCACACAGGATTTCCCTGCTCTTCTTCAACGTGTCCTCAATCTTGCACGCTGTGAACAGTGCTGCCGCGGCCGCATCGGCCCAATTGTATTCATTGTCTGCATGTAGCAACCTGAACTTGTGGTAATAGATGACGGCAGTGTTGAAGGTGCGAATAGGTAGTTGCAGCGCTCGTCGTACTTGGTCGATCCATGCAACGCCTTGGAGACGCACAGCATCTTCTTTGGCATCGCTCATGTTGATATCTGAGAGACATTTCTGCATGCGCGATTGTAGAATGTATGGCTTCGCAATCTCAATGTATGACGGGTGTGGGCCAACGCGATCGCGGTCGGAGGTGGAGGCGCCCGGCGCCATGGTGCGATATTATGTACAGGGCCGTCGTGCTGTACTGAAGGAGAGATTGTGTAGGTGTAGGTGTGATGCAGCACGATAGCAGCTTGGTCGGCAACTCAACACACGGGCCTTTGGCATGTGTTGCTCGGCGCGAGTTTGCCCGGGTACCCGGAGCTTATTCCGAACAGAGCGCGGAGAGCAAGCAGAGGCTCAAGAGTGGCCCGTAAGTTGCATGTCGGGAGCGATTGAAAGTCTATCGGATTGCGGAGCGATCGATGAGCTCAAAGTTACCAGAGTAGTTGGTCATAGCTTTGCTCGAATACAAGTGGTGGACAGCAGTACATCATTACTCCTGTATATAGTTGCGAGATACTGACTCTACGCCTATACTATTACATACCTAGCACCATATATAAAAAGATTGGCTAATTTTGCTCCGTCTTTTTTTTTCTCTAAGTTTTTACTAGCTCTATACAGCGTGTAGAGAGTGGGGTAAAGAGATTACAGTCTATTCGTGTGGCAGTGCTAAGCTAGGTTTGAGACATTGATGACATCAAGTAAGCCCTCACCGAATGAAACAATAAGATCTGGCTCAGACCCCTGGCATGGTTCATCTCTCTTACATATGCATATACTCTATATGCACGACATCGCATTGCGAAATACAAAGTGCCAAAAGTAGTGTAAGTAGTGAGACAAAGGGTAAAATTTCTAATCTTTCCTTCTGCTCTGATTGCATTATCCACCGTCCTCTATGTAGACCCATCCTCCCCAGTATTAATTCATCTCAGCTTGCACTGTACTCATCAAGCCAAAACAGGCCGTGATCATTATAATTAAAAAAGCGAGAACAGAGGCGCGTTGACCTCCGCCTTGGGAGAATTGAAATTAAGGTCTTCACCTCCAACCATACGCATGGAAATGCAAGCAAGACTCGCTAAAGTGCGCATCACATGGCTGGGCTCGGAGCATCTATGCCGCTACTCGGTCCTTGAATGTAAGAAGGCAGTCATCCTGCATAGTATCAGCGAGAGTCCTAAGCATGTGAAGCGACGAATGAGACATACCATGGGGAAAATGGTGGCAAAAACCTTGATGACCTCGCTCTGGTCAGTGACCTTATGGTCCCAGTCAAGCAACATGCTCGCCTTGCCAATCATCAACATGAGGTTGGCTTGGGCATACGTCTGTCCCAGGCAGTAGTGAGGGCCTGTGCCAAAGACGAGCCAGTTCTTGGTTTGCTGATCGGCGTCACCAGTGATCCATCGTTCAGGCTCGAATGACTCGGGATTAGGGTAAGCTTCGGGGTCGTGGAGGGCCATGTAGGTGGTAGGGATGACCATGGAGCCCTTGGGCACAGTGTAGTCTGGCGTCACGGGGAAATCCTTCTTGGCAAGGTAGGGGACCATGATAACCGGGGGACGGTAGCGAAGAGTCTCCTTGACAATGGCACGAGTCCATTGGAGCTTCTCAATGGCGTCAAGGGAAAGCGAGGCGTGGACATCGCCATTCCTGGCCTTGATGTTCTCCTCGCGGATCTTGCCAAGGTACTCGGGTCGGTCGGCCATGATCTGGAACAGCCATGTAGCGGCAGAGGAGGTGGCGTCTTGCGAGGCGAAGAGGAATGTGAAGATGGTCATGGAAATTTCAATGTCGCTGAACCAGCGGATCACGGTAGCGGGCTTCTCGGAGTCATCGACCTTTTCGCCTGCCTCGACCCTCTTGCGGTACTTTTCCGACTGAATCATGTTATCGACCCAGAAGTCAAGAATGCACTCCTTCTTGCCCCCAGCAGCCATGCGAACCTTGCTCTTTGCGGCGCACTTGGAGAACTCGTCGAGAACCATGTCGGCGCACTTTTTGCCGTACCAGGTCTTGGTGAAAGGAATGATGATTGGGAAGTTGACCAGTTCAAGGGCGGCGGTAATTAGATAGTAGTCGTCGGCAATCTTCTTGACAGCCTCGTCGGAGCAGTAGTGGCCAACAAAGGTGCGGCAGCTAAGGGCCGTGATCATCAGACGGAATTCCTGCATCCAGGGCACGTGCTTGCCCTTGTTCTCAACCTGGGAAAGATGGACGAATTGCTTGAAGTATTTGTTGTAGATGTCCTCTTGGCCAGGAAGGTACTGTTCAAGCGCCTGGCGAGTAAAGAGGCTGTTGAGGCCCTTGCGGTAGTCAACGTGGGCGCGGCCATCCAGGAAAACCCAGTTTTCGGGGCGCAAGAGCTTGTAGGCGACATCGACGACGCAAGGCTTGACAAATGATGGCGAATTGAAGATCTTGCGGGCCATGTCGCGGGTTGAGGCAATGACGACGAATCTGAGAGGGCAATTAGGACATGCAGAGTTGCGGGGGTGGTTTGTGGGGCGGTGTACTTGTGGAATACCGAGACGCAACTCAGCGGGCCCGACGACCATTTTTCATGATACTTGTTGAAGTCTGGGTTGACCGACTCAAGGAAGGGGCCGATGAAGGGAATCTTCCATGAAGGGCCAACAATGGAGCCCTTGTTCCAAATGTACTTGACTGTGCGCAGGTTAGCAGGCGGTGTCGGGCGCGCACATATGGCGAAGTGCGGTGCAATGCATACACTGGTCGTATGCGACAGCAGTCACGATTAGCGTCAAGGCCAGCTTCCAGACGGTGAGGCCAGTCACGACGGACGAAAGGAGGCCGCTGGTGTCGAAATCCTGCAGGACTTGGGCTGCTTTGGCATCTGCCGTGGGCGAGACGAAGCTCACGTTGGCGGCCATGGTAGCAGTGATGAAGGGGGGGAGGGGAGAGTCGCGCCAGGCAGGGCAGGACGAGGTGAATCGGGAGGGAAAGCCCAGGAAAGCGAGAAGTCGAGGGCGTCAAGAAATTCCCGTTGGCGTCGGATCAAGCCAGGGCCGCAAAGAGGGTCTTTGAATGTTTGATTGCATGACTTGGCGCCGCCCCCCCGGCAACTCGCCGCCACACTAAACGCCAGGCACTTTCTGCCGGACGGGGCCGTGGACTCGGATCTAGCGCCATGGGGCCCTCGGCGAAGCTTCTTCTTCGTGTGGATGGCATAGTAGGCATGTACTCTCTGCGCTGATTGCTCCGTATGCACAATACATAGTGGAGTAGCGAAAGTACAGTCAGACCAGAGCCGACCACCTGCGGGGGGCCAGGGCACCCGGCTTATGGCTGCCCTTGCATTTGCTCTAGTACGACGACTATACTACGTAAGTAAGTGGCTGCATTCCCCAGGCACCCAGCCAATCGGCTTACTCGTCCGCCCCGGCGTCCGCGCGCCGCGAAACCATGACATGTAAATTAGCTATTACAAAGCCCATCCTGCCGATAAGTAGCGCATGGACGTCGTATTGCGCACAGCACACATGCGTCTATACGCTCTTCATGTCTTGTCCATCACAGGCCAATAGCTGCCTTCCCGGACCGGTTCCTTGGCTACCTTCTGGAAGACAGATGTCATGCCCCATCTCTTCAAGACCATTTCTTCCATCTCGTCTTCGCGCACTCCAGGCAGATCCCACAGATCAGCGCCTTGCTGCATCACAAAAAAGTCCCCTACCCAGTCTTGCTGGCCGACCTGCTTGCTTTTCTCCTAAAAGTAACATTAGCTTGAATCTCAACACCCCCAACAGCCTCGGTCATGTCTATGTCTATGTCCATGCCCATGCCTGTATGTACTACACATGTACCTAACTCGAAAGACAAGCCTGCACTTACATATTCCCACTGTTCTTTCGTCAGCCCAAACACGCCGGTAATGTCACTCGGGAACACCCAATGTCTTGCATCGTAACGCGTGACTTTGACCACAGTGTCTTCTTGGTCGTACATGACCTTGTACACCATGTTCCGGATGCACTGTAAAAAGTTTATATAGCAACGGTCGCGTTCTACCACTGCATTATTCCAGTCATCCAGCCCCCTGACGCTATCCATGTTTGACAGCTCGCTCATGATGATAAACTCAATCTCTATCTTATCCCTGGGGCGACGCTCCAGGTAGTGCGTGAGTCCCTCTAGATAACCCCATGTCATGCGCAGGAAGCGCTGCTCGTATGCGTATCGATCGAAGAAACATTGCCTCCCCGGAAGATCCTTGAGGAAATGCTCAAACTTGACCCGGATTTGCAGACGACGTATATGATCTGCTGCAAAGAACGGCGGCACATCACCAAGTGTCGTAGAGTGAATCGGACCAAGATCGCGCTCCCGTTTCTTCCTGCTGTCATAGCAAGTATTCCGGGCCAGAAAATTGAAAAGAGCATTCTCAACGCTGCATACAGAGAAGGTGTTCCGCGTGTAGTACATCTTCTGCGTCTCATACGACACTAATGGGCCAACGTATCTGTAGTCCAGAAAATGACTGCTAGGAAGCACCATGTCGCTAGGGGGCTTGTGGGTGTGCTTCTCTTTGACTCGGCCATCTGGGAGGATGGTGTAGTTGCTACCCAGTGTCGCCTCTTCTTGGTCTTCGTCGACATACAAGCGGGAGATGCGCTTAATGAGCTCTGGGTCTACTTGCAGTTCATCACCCCAGTTGACTGGTGGCTTGCGTGCTATTGGTGCGCTGTCGCCGGGTGCACCGGATGCTGACCCTGGGACGGAAAGTTTTTCAAGCATGTCGGGTTCCGAGTCGCAGTCCGTCTCGGCTTCCGGAGGATAGACGTAAGGCTTGTTGTATACACGGAAATGATAGTAGGGGCCAACTGGAATGGGACGGTCGGCGTCTACACAGAGATATTCGTACACCATCTCACGTACTTCGACAGGAAGCTTCTCATACATCATGTTTGCCAGCTGAAGGCAGTCGGCCCGAGCATAGTAAATGATGGCTTTTAGGTAGTCGGTCTTGAGGCCTTTCGCCTCTTCTTCAGCTTCAGCAAGTTCACGCTTCTTCCTCGCAACTCTGTTCATGCGTTAGTCACACATATATACGTATATAGACAGACCCAAGAAAATATGCGCTACGGTCGATTGAGCATTGGTAATTGTTCTAGGTATTCCTTTCTTGGGCTTGATACAAGCGGACTTGCGTCAGTTGGGCCAACTCACTCATCCTGCTTTTTTTGAGACTGCGCCTGCAGGAAACGCAAAGGCCTCTGCAGTTGCGCAAGATCGTTTGGGACGCCCATTGTATGCAATCACACGCGAGAGCACATGCGCATGCACCTATACACAACTAAGTCCATGAATATGTATGTAAGTATGTGGTAGAGGCGAACCCAAGCGAGCCGGAGGAGAGATGCAGCTGCAACGCAACCCCACATGCTACTAGCGCGCATGAGCCCATTGGCTCGCTCCCCGACGCGTCGCGCGTCACTCAGTCAAGCAGGCTGTGTGAGTGAGCGCTCACCGTGAACATGGGCTGAATTGACATGGCCACAATCAAGGCCATAGAAAGCCGCTCTGTGCACCAGATACAGTCGGGTCAGGTTATTGTCGACCTGCAGTCTGTCTGCAAAGAGCTAGTGGAAAACAGCATCGATGCAGGCGCCACGGCCATTGGTATGTCCTTGCCACGACACTCTCGACTAAAGACGGTGGCAGTCAGCTGATGTCCAGCGTAGAGGTACGCTTCAAGAATTACGGCCTCGACACCATCGAAGTCCAAGATAACGGCTCTGGCATCTCGCCCCAAGACTACCAAACCATTGCCCTGAAGCACTACACCTCCAAGCTTGCCACCTACGACGACCTCACGTCGCTGCAGACTTTCGGCTTCCGTGGCGAGGCCTTGTCATCGCTATGTGCCCTCTCCAAATTTTACATCGTCACAAGCAGAGCCTCAGATGGGCCAAAGGGCACCAGGCTCGACTTCGAGCAGTCGGGCAAGCTCAAGGGAACGTCGGTTGTGGCTGCTAAGCAGGGCACCACCGTCGTGGTCGACACTCTGTTCCATAATCTACCCGTGAGGCGAAAGGAACTCGAGAAGAACATCAAGCGCGAATACAACAAGGTCCTACAGCTGCTGAATGCATATGCATGCATCAGTGTCGGGGTTAAGTTTTCGGTCAGCAACCAGATACCCAAAGGGTCAGTGGGGGCCGATAGCATGTGCATGCATTGCCGACTATACTGACATATATCCAAAGGAAGAAGACAGTAGCCTTTGCAACCAATGCAAATGCCAGCACGCGGGACAACATCTCCAATGTGTATGGTGCAAAGACAGTGACCGCCCTCATACCCCTCAACCTCGAGTTCATCATGGACCCCTCCAATAGGCCGGGCGCCACACAAAATATCAAGGTCCCGGACGCACACAACGACATAGCATCGCGGACCGTCAAGATAGTAGGCCACATATCCCGTCCCGTCGTAGGCGAGGGTCGTCAGACGCCAGACAAACAAATGTTCTTTGTGAATTCGCGGCCCTGCAACCTGCCTCAGGTTTCCAAAGCATTCAATGAGGTCTACAAATCCTACAACACCACACAGTCTCCTTTTGTCTTTGCCGACATCAAACTTGATACAAACGCCTACGATGTCAATGTAAGCCCAGACAAACGCACCATCATGCTCCATGACCAAGCAGTGCTCCTGGAGAACATCAAGGACTCCCTACTCGAGTTGTTCCAGGGACATGAACAAAGTGTACCTCAGTCTCAGCTGCTAAAAAATAAAACATCGACATCTGTCTTTAAACCTCCCACGATCCAACCTCGTGAAAGCACTACATCTGTACGAGAAAGCGACCAGAGCGATCCAGAAGGCTCAGATGATGACGGGGCGGCGATACAAGAGAGCTCTAGAAGAGCTTCGACACGAGACGTGCCTGATGTGGCTAACCGTCCCGGATTTGTGAAAGCGAGCCTTCTCGAACGATTCGCTGGCCGCGACTCTGAAGACCGGACGACTCGTCCACGATCACAATCTCCATTATTTGAACCCGAGGTAAATACACATGATGTTGCTGCTGGGCACCCGCAGCTTTCCAGGGCCATTCAAGATTTTAATGCACGTGTGGCGTCTCAGAGCCCTCGCTCGGCGGGACTAACACGCCCATCAATGTCTGCTGAACCTAATCAACAAGGTGAAGGTGCAGAACAGCCAGTCCCGGTTATAAAGCAAACTCCCCAGAAGCCGTTATCACAAAGCACCATTCAGAATGCTTTTGATCGTATGCGCCCCATGCGAACAACGGTTCAGCAGGCCACAATAACAGTTGGCGATACTACAACTGTCTCTACAATTGGTACTGGTAGTCATTGGGTAGCTTCAAGGCGATCGAGGATACACATCCCAAAGTCTTCTTCTTCTGCCAAGTCATTAGATCAGACACCAAATAAAAACCTGTTCAAGAAGGGCTTGGGCGGGTTCACAGCACCGGGCACGCAATTGGAGAGCAGTGATGAAGACGAGGATGAAGACGAAGACGAGGATGAAGGCGAAGACGACGAGGGTGAAGGTCATATCAACGCGACTCGTATACCAATACGCTCTCCCTCTCCTGTGAAACGCTTGCCATCCAGGGCACTCGAGGGGCCACGTATCAACAACATGACTGCCTTGTCCCGCGCTTCTCCAGATCGCTCATTGTCCATGTCTGACGGATCCTTGGACGCTGAGCCTGTTGAGGTTGTTGAAAAAGAATCAGAGGCAGCTGGTGAAGATTCGGACGATGAGTACGAGGACGATACCGAGAAGAAGGCCAGAGAGGAAGCCAGGTTTACTAAACTGATTGCGGAGGCTGAAGAGACTGCGGCTCAGCCCAGTGAGATGAGCCTAAAGCGTGCCGACAAGCTCTTTACGGTTACCCAAAAGAAGCACTGGACTATCAACCTCAGACGCGTCATCAAGACCAATATTGAGTCGATTGCCCATCATGCGCAGCACATTCGATCCTCTATCGATGCATCTTGGGCACGAGTTGATCAAACGGCAATGCTGTCTACCGATGTCCAGTCAAATGGAGAAGAGGCAGAAGAACGTCTCAGTCTAACAGTAACAAAAGCTGATTTCGGAAAAATGCGCATCATCGGCCAATTCAACCTTGGCTTCATCATAGCCGTACGACCCCCAACCTCAACATCACCAAACTCGCACCTCTTCATCATCGACCAGCACGCCAGTGACGAAAAATACAACTTTGAACGCCTATCCGCAACCACCAAACTCGTCTCCCAGCGCCTAGTGCACCCCCACCCCCTCGAACTAACCGCCGTAGAAGAAGAAATAATCCTCGCAAACCAACCCACTCTAACCGCCAACGGCTTCGTCGTCGAGCTCAACCCTACATCTGACACTGAACCCCGGCCCGGTACCCGCGCAAGCCTCACCTCCCTTCCCATGTCCAAAGAGGTAACCTTCACCCCCTCAGACCTTGAAGAACTCCTCTCTCTCATCCTCGACAACCCTCCTTCCTCTTCCACTTCCTCATCTTCAGCATACATCTTGCGCCCCTCCAAAGTCCGCAAGTTACTCGCTAGCCGTGCGTGCAGGAGCTCAGTTATGATTGGTAAGACGCTCAAGACGCAGCGTATGCGCGAGATTGTGAGGCATATGGGGGGTATGGATAAGCCGTGGTCGTGCCCGCATGGAAGGCCGACGATGAGGCATTTGTTGGATTTGGAGAAGTGGGTCGGGTGGAGGGAGGGGGAAGGAGTTGTGGGGGTTGAGGTTAAGGGGGAGAAGACGGATTGGGGGGAGTATTTGAGGAGGAGTAGGGGGTGAGATAGATGTGTGGAGTTGTAGATGAGATGTTTTGGGCAGGGTGGGTTATAGGGATATTGTTCTTATTGGGGGGTTGGCAGTGGTATGGTAATGTATTTGTGGCTACGATATCCAATTGTTGTTAGCCCACCATTTTGACACCAAATTGTTTGGCTGGGGATATCGCGTCATATGTTCGTTTACTTTTGCCTCATCTTTTTCACAGTACTCCCTAAGCTGTTTACCTTCTTTCCTCTTCCAAACCACTACATCTATATCCCCTGCCTCACAAAATCCCATTGCGTTTGCTATTCCCGCATCACCCCAACGCACAACAGCAAACCTTGCTAACCAACAAACTCCGTTTCTCCTCCCTATACACATTCCCGCTACACTCTTCTCTCTTGTGCTCTCTTTTCTCTCTTGCGAAACCCCCCAGATGCACGCTAACTCACTACGCAACTCCCACAGCCCAACACGTCCGTCTCCTCCTCCACCCCCGATTTCTCCTGGCCCCACTCCAAACCCTTCTGGATAATCCTCATCATCGCCTCCTGCATCCTGCTTCTCTGCATCCTCTACAAGCTACATCAAAACCTCCAGTGCAGAAGGCGCATCCGCGGCCCACGCAACATCGGACTAGAAGGACGAATGAACATAGAAAGACGAATGCACACAGAACAGGGAATGGATACGCAAGCGGGGTTGGGTGCGGGAGAGGAATGTAGCGTGTCAAGACCATCTAGAGCAGTAACAGTGACGAGGAGGGTGAGTGGAGGGAGCGAGGTTTCTGTTTTGCCGCTGTATGAGCGGTTTGATGAGGGAGGAGTTTGTGAGGTGGATGTTCGAGTTGAGAAGAGGGGGCGGTATGTGTATGTTGTGAGAGAGGGTATCAAGGAGTCTGAAGCGAGGGGGTGAAGGTGGGTAGTGGAGACGGAGCAATTGGTTTGGAGTGTGTCTTTGGCGAGAGAGACCAAATGGGCAAACAAACGTAGAGAGTTGTTATAGCGTAGCTTGTGTGTTTGCTGGTGAGGTGGTCATTCGTCACGGTATGGAAACGCTGGTAAGCTTGCCTTATATAAGTCTTTCTTGCACGGAGTATCGTTTCGAAAGTATCATCTCAAGCGAAATGGAGACGGAAGTCATTATCGTCACCTGCGCGGTAACGCTTGTTTTACTAATTGTCCAGATCACTGTTACTTTGTGTCTACTCTTTTACTGGCAGAATTAAGTCCATGGAGAAAATGGAGAGAATAGTCGGAACGAAATCCCCCGTGCTCGCCAAGATGGAGAAGGAGATGCTAGTTCGGTTTTCCGCTCTTCGGATAATGGTTTGGTGGCTGGTTGCCCTTATGCTGCGAGTTCTGTGTATAGCAACTCCAGTGAGGGAAGACGATACGGCAGTTGTAATGAGCAAAGCCTTGTAGTATGTAGTTTCCGACTATATGTACATACAGGAAATAGACGTGGGCATATTGGAGAAGAAAGATGAAGGGCACGAGCCGAGGATGCAAGGATGCGTAGCGCGGGATGCGCATGACAAAGGCGGAAGGTACCGGTTTGACGCACGAAGACGCCCGCGGCCGGTGGAGCCTTCTTTTTCTGTATCCAAGCTTTGCGCAACTCCTCCGCCGCACTTCAACGACCTGCCACTGACCCCCGGTGTAGCTGCAATTGGGTCCCACCAACAACTCTCTACTCGCTCAATATGCTGGCTGCTCGTTCTTTCGCCTCGCCCGCGCGCCAATGCCTGCGCCAGGCCAACCGCTCAAGATGGGCGCCCGCACTGTCCCAGGTGAGCTTCCATGTAATAGCGGGACCGCACGTTTGCCAGAGTTACTACCAACTCGCGCATTTGCCCTTGTGATAGAGAGTAGGAGAGGTGGGAAAATACGAAAAAAAGAAGGGGAAAAGGAATTGAAAGAAGACGAGAAAAAACAGGCTGATACATGGCCCAGGTCTCCGCCCGCACATACGCCTCTGAGGTCGCCAAGTTCCACGGCACAAAGGGTAGCGATGGCAAGTACTGCGTCACCCTGATTGAGGGTGACGGTATCGGCCCCGAAATCGCGCAGTCGGTTAAGGACATCTACTCGGCCGCCAACGTGCCCATCAAGTGGGAGTCAGTCGACGTCACCCCGCGCCTGAACGAGGAGGGCAAGACGGTCATCCCCGACGAGTCAATTGCTAGCGTCAAGAAGAACCTCGTCGCTCTCAAGGGCCCGCTGGCCACACCCATTGGCAAGGGCCACGTCTCGCTCAACCTCACCCTTCGCCGTACCTTCAACCTCTTCGCCAACGTCCGTCCCTGCAGGTCCATTGCTGGCTACAAGACGCCCTACGACGACGTTGACACCGTCCTGATCCGCGAGAACACTGAGGGCGAGTACTCTGGTATTGAGCACATTGTGGTAGATGGCGTCGTACAGAGCATCAAGCTCATCACCCGCGAGGCCTCTGAGCGCGTCCTGCGATACGCCTTCCAGCACGCCCGCGACATTGGCAGGAAGAAGGTCCGCGCCGTCCACAAGGCCACCATCATGAAGATGTCCGACGGTCTCTTCCTCAGCACTGCCCGCGAGATTTCCAAGGACTTCCCCGACATTGAGTTTGACGCCGAGCTCCTCGACAACACTTGCTTGAAGATGGTCACCGACCCTGTCCCCTACAACGACAAGGTGCTCGTCATGCCCAACCTGTACGGAGACATTCTCTCCGACATGTGCGCTGGTCTCATTGGTGGTCTCGGTCTGACTCCCTCTGGAAACATTGGTGACAACTGCTCCATCTTCGAGGCTGTCCACGGATCCGCTCCCGACATTGCTGGCAAGCAGCTTGCCAACCCCACCGCGCTTCTTCTCAGCTCCATCATGATGCTGCGACACATGGGCCTCAACAGCGAGGCCGCTAACATTGAGCAGGCTATCTTCAAGGTCCTTGCTGAGGGCAAGGTACGTAGTATCTCGCATGTTTGTTGCGGAGGACAAATCGCTAACTTTACCACAGACCATCACTGGTGACCTCGGCGGCAAGGCCAAGACCTTCGAGTACGCCGACGCCGTTATCAAGGCGCTCAAGTAGATTGGAATATGGAATTGATGAGCATTGACACGACCGAATGGTAGCCATTGCATATCTGGATATGTACTAGTCCCTGTACTATAGCTGCCATTTAGCTAGATACACGCCTATACCACTTGAAGTTTGCATATTGATAAGGTCATTTTGAGCTGTAGATTGGGTTGTGTAACAAGATGCGAGTTCTGCCTTGTTTGCGTGTGCCTGCACAATGATTGTGCAGTGCGAGCAAGAATAGCCGAAGCGGATGCGCCTTGGCCTGTGAACGGCGAGCTTGACTTTTAAGTGACCACTACTCACCCAATGCCACCCAAACCTCCCGCGCGCCTCCCTCCGAAACCTCGCGTTACACCAAAAGCGCAGGTAAAGACATCTCTGCCAGGCCTGACCCCGAGACCTGCTGCCCGAGCCCCACCGCATCCAAAGTCCACCATACCTGCGACACCGAGCAATGCTTCCACCCCACTTCCACCCCCGCCTCCGTCGAAATGGTCCGAACAGAGTCGCTCAGGCTCAAGCAGCCGCTACGTGAAATGGGGTACCAACGGTCTAGTAGCGATATGCGCAATGCTCTTCCTACGCGACCACTACATTGAGTTCCAACACGTCCGCGGCTCCTCCATGTCACCCACCCTCAGTCCCAACGCGCACGAGACAGGCCGGGAAGACTACGTCCTCGTGCGCCCATACCTCGAGCACTCCAGACGAGGAGCAAAGAGCGAGCAAAACGACAACAATGAATGGAGCGTGAAGCGCGGCGATGTAGTGACGTTCTGGAAACCACACAAGCCCTCTGAAATGGGTATTAAACGCGTAGTAGCGGTTGAAGGCGACACCGTGTATCCCGTTCGCGGCTACGCTTTCGATCCCGCGGCGCATGCGGCCAGAGTGCAAGGGTCGCCGGATGGGCTTGCGGATTTCGACCCGGACTCTGTTGTTCCTGAGGCGCAGCAGCGGGAGCTGGGCAAGGTGGTGGTGCCGTATGGACATGTGTGGATTGAAGGGGATAATTGGCGGAAGAGTCTTGATAGTAATGATTTTGGGCCGATTAGCAAAGGGTTGATTCAGGGGAGGGCGGTTAAGGTGTGGAGGAACTGGTTTGGTTTGTTGGATGTGGGGGATGAGAGGAAGAGGGGGGAGAGAAGGATGAGGAGTCGGGTTGTAGAGGGACGGAGTGAGATTCCTGCTGTGTTCTTGGAGTGAATGGTAAGAGGACTTGAATGTCTGAAGGTATTGGGCTTGAGATTGGCAAGATATTCGGTGTATGGTTATAGGTATGTATTATGAACTACTTCTTTCGCGTTACTCATGCTTTCAGGAGCTTCTCGGCTTCGGCGCATACAGCAACAGTCACGCTGTTGGTGGTATCGCTCCCACCAAGGTCTCTGGTCTTGATACCACGCCCAGTGACGTTTTCGATAGCCTTGATCAGTACACCGGCTGTCTTGTCCTCACCAACCCATCGCACTATCTCGGCAGCACTCCAAAACGCTCCAATGGGGTTGGCGATGCCTGCTCTAGCGTTGCCAGGTGCATAACCATGATTCGGCGCAAACAAGCCTGGGTTCTTACGCGAAGGGTCAAGATTACACCAAGTAGTTATGCCAGTTGATCCGCTGAGTGCCGCTGCAAGATTCGACAGGATATCTGCATGCAGATTAGTAGCGACGATTGTGTCGAGGGACGAGGGACGCAGAGTTATGCGGGTCGGCATTGCTTCAACGAGCATGGTGTCAGTCTGCACGTCCTCATACTGTTTTGCAACCTCGTCAAAAACTTTGTCCCAGAGCGCCATGCCATGATTGTGGATATTCATCTTGGTCACCATGGTCAATTTCTTCCGTGGTCGCGACCTGGCTATCTCAAATGCATATCTCATGACCCGCTCGGTGCCGGCTCTGGTGAAGATGCTCACTTCGGTAGCTACTGCGTGTGGAGCATCTTGATGAAGGACACCACCCTGGCCCGAGAAGTTGCCCTCGCTGTTCTCACAGATGATGATCCAGTCAAGGTCGGTAGGTGTGCAAACTATCAGTGGAGAGGTGGTGTCTGGGAAAATCCGCTTAGGCCGCACGTTGACATGATGATCTAGCGACTTGAGTATGGGCAGGATCAAAGAAGTCAGCAAGAGCTCATCTGGGACGCCGTGCCGGCCTACAGCGCCAAAGTAGATGGCATCGTAGTCCTTAAGCTCGTCGGGACCGTTCGAGGGCATACATTCGCCCTCGTTGAGCAGACGTGTGGCGCCCCAGTCAAAAGTAGTAAAGTGGAATTCAAAGGTTCCAAGGGTAGAGGATAGTGTGTTGAGCACACGGACACCAGCTTCTATGACCTCGGGGCCGATGCCGTCCCCAAGAATGCAGGCGATGCGGTATATAACGACTGCGGCATGGATGTGTGAGACCATGGTTGATGTTATTGGACGTTCAGCCCGGCATGAGCGGGAGAGGGACAGATGATGCTAGACTCGTATCTGGACCAGGCCATGAGGAGGCTAGTACAAATACTTCTACATGTCAACAATGATTTCTCTTGCTCTCTAGGCAACCATTCTTTGTGTTTGAGCAATGCAGGTGATGGAAAAGGGACTCAGCTATTGCCTTTCCGGTCCCGAACTGTGCTGTAGTGGCAGCCTGGGGGAGTATTGGTGTATGCAACCACTGTGGTAGTCCAAGTGTTAGCGGGCGCGGATGGCTTCCCCTCGTCGAGACCCTGTGTGTTGCGCGTTCCCCGCGCTAGCTCACTGCCCCACCCCGCCACGCCACACCCAGTGCATTCACCAGAGCTCACCGCTCTAGCCAGACCACCTGGCCGACATCAAAAGCTCCATCTATTCCTCTGTTGCCCTGCTTGCCATTGCTTTTTCCTCATCCCTTCCTGCACTACACACATACATACATACTCCACAATGGCAGTTGCAATCCCCCCAGGCGGAACCTTCTTCGACACGCTCAACAAGAGCTTCGTCGATGTCTCCATTGACGAGTCCAATGACAAAGCTATCAAGACGACCGACTTTCTCCAGGCTGCTGAGAGCTTGACTACTCTTTTCGATGTCTTGGGCGGAGTAGCCTTCAAGCCAGTCAAGAATGACATGGCCGGCAACATCAAGGTGCGCACCAAGTGAACCAACCCAATACCCGTACACGTACCAATACAAGACAGAAAATCCAAGACAGGCAGCTCGCTGCACCAACACTGTCCGAGACCCTCCAGGACCTTGTCCTCAACGAGCTCAAGGAGAAGAAGCACACTGCCACTGAGGGCCTTGTATGGCTGAACCGGTATGCACTCTCTACCACCTCCAAAGACCCTTTACTGACGGCTTTTCCAGTGGCTTGGACTTTACTGCCCAAGCTCTCCGTCACAACATCACCAACTCATCCGTGGAGCTTGCCCAATCCTTCCGTGACGCCTACGGCAATACCCTCAAGCCCCACCATTCGTTCGTCGTCAAGCCCATTTTCAGCGCCGCCATGAGCGCTACCCCATACCGCGCCGACTTCTACAAGAAGCTGGGAGACGACGATGCCAAGGTCCAGGCCGAGCTGGAAAAGTGGCTAGCTGCGCTGGAGAAGGATGTCGCCGTCCTGAACGAGTTCCTCGCCAGGAAGGAGGCCAAGTGGTAGACGCATGGCTCCTACATATATGTGAACACGACAAAAAGTGAATGATTGAAATGAAGATTGGCCAGCGCCATTGATGTTGCATGATTATCATGGCAACATGAATAGCTATTATATACTGCATGATCCAGCTCTTATCGCCTGTACACTGTGATTTTTGTCCTATCTCTTTCACCTCGACTTCTTCCTCTGGAACACAAACAGCGCCTCGTCCTTGCCCGCAAAACTCGGCAGCGGCATCCTCAACACGAGCTCAAACTGACTCAAATTCTTCTCCACCCACTCATCCACCGCCACATCCCTAAACCCCGTAAACCCATTCCCATTCTGCGTCCCCGCAACGACAATCGTATCCCCCTCAAACGCCTTCATCATCGGCCCCGTAAAATCCCCCGTAGCCTGCGGATACACAAGCAACAGCACACACCCTTTCCCCCCACCATTCCTCATCAAATACTGCCTCCCATCCATCTTGATAGTATCCCCTACCCACATAACCCTGTACTCGCTCACCTGGCTATCCACAGCCCGCACATCCAGCTCCTTCGTCGCCCCAATATGCGCCACGGGGAAATGCCGAAGCATATACGTCCAGTACCCGTTTCCGGACCCTATGTCGAGGATCGGACGCACGGCTTCTTTACTTGGACGTGCTGGCTGCGCTAGTTTTGCCAGGACGTGCAGAGCCGCGTAGGATGGGACGACGCAGCCGAAGTGGTGGTAGAAGAGGGGAAGAATGTGATGGCTTATTTTCGTCCCTACTGTTTCGGGGACGGGGCCGGCCCATTCGAGTTCGTTACACGAGTAGGTCCAGAGATCCAGGTAAGGGTTTTTGTGCTCGCGGTCTTTTTTGCTGGGGAGGAGGCTGGAGTTTGGGGGCGTGGTGTTGAGGTAGCGGGAGGTTAGATGTGTGGCTATTTTCTGGCGGAGGGAATTTGCTTTTGAGCTTTTGAGGAGGCTGGTGAGAGATTTGGGGAGGGAGGTGCTGGGGGTGAAGAGGGAGGTGTAGGCGGTTATTTCGTCGGGCGTGGAATAGACCTGGGGGTGTTAGTATGGGGATGTTATGTTGGGAAAGGGCAGATGAAAGGTTTGGTTGACAGGTATTTGGGTATTCGGCAGAGATTAAATACATACGGGTTGGTCTTCATCATCTTGATACCATCCGTGTAGCCCATGTTCTCTTTTTGCGTCAATGGCTCGCTGCGTGGCGTGCAGCGTTGTCTCTGCATGCGCCCGATAAACATAGCTGTCTGTAGGCGGAATGTCGAAGGCTTCTCCCAGACATCTCGCTAGAGACTTCTCGGTGTGTAACGGTGAGTACTTCTCTTCTGACCATTCATCCAGGAATGTATCGGGGTTGAAGTTCTTCAGTGCCATGGTGATGGTTGATAGCACGTGACTAGACGATGTTTGCGCTCTTTGCCCCGCCGAGTAACCCGTAAAACACACGCTCTATTCTCCAAGCTCTTTCTCAAACTCCTCGGACTACTCAATTCGGTTGTAGATAATACACAAAAACTCGTTACCCTCTCTTAGCGTCAGACAATGGGCGTTCTGCGCTCTTCGGCAAGCAGCCAATGACGCGTCGCTGATCAATAAGTGGCGGCCATCTCGTCATCCATCACTAATCAGCCAAGCGGCTCTTTTCCGTCCCCACATGCGGTCCTCCGCTAGTCCACCTTACTGGATCTTAGTCACTAATTGGAAATGTCCATGTAACAAACAGCAGAAAGCGCAGTATCGCTATGATGCAGCAACTAAAACCTCGGCCTCCCAGCCGAGAATATAAAAACTCGCAGAGTCGTCGCATGAGCTGAAATCTCCTTTTCGTGATGACAGACACAACAATAACAACATCAAAAGCATCCAGCCAACATCGTGCTTCATCTACACCTAATACCTCATACTCAACCACCATAAAAGCAATCACAGTCCTCGTAGGCTTACTAGCACTCACCCTGGCTTTCTCAACAGCCTTCCGTACTTCTTTCTCTTCTCTCCTCTCGAAACCCACCCTCCGCACAATGTCAACCGCAACACCTGCTTCTCTGAAAATCACAAAGCGACCCTGGTCGCAACGCGGCCACGCCGACCACGGCTGGCTCTACACATACCACACATTTTCCTTTGCCTCGTACTACGACCCGCGACACGAGAGTTGGGGTCCTCTCCGCGTCATCAATGAAGACAGAGTCGAGGCTGGAACTGGATTCGGTAAGCATCCTGATCACCCTCCAAACGCCGTCGTATACATGTATAGACAAGCTGCTAACACAGAAACAAAAGGAACACACAGCCACGCCGAGTTCCTCATCTTCAGCTACATCGTCTCCGGCACCCTCGAGCACAAAGACAGCATGGGCAACCTCGAGAACCTGCAACGCGGCGAAGTCCAATTCACCAGCGCCGGAACAGGGATCCGGCACTCAGAGTACAACCGCAACCGCGACTCTGAAGTCCACTTTTTGCAGATCTGGGCTAAGCCCAATAAGAGGGGTCTGAAGCCGCATTACGAAACGAAGAAGTTTAGCGATGAGGAGAAGAAGGATAAGCTTGTGAGGATTATGGAGTATACGGAGAGGTTGCCGAAGAGTCAAGGTGCAATTGGACTGCAGGCGGATCTGAGTATGGATGCGTCGATTTTGGCGCCCGGGAAGAAGGTGGTGCATGAGATTGTGGCGGAGGGGCCTAGGAAGCTGTTTGCGCATGTTGTTATGGGTGGGCGGGCACAACCGCAGACTGGGGGTGCGCAGATTAAGATTGGGGAGACGATTCTGGGAGAGGGGGATGGCGCGTATATCGATGGGGCCAAGGGGCCGGGCAAGATTGAGATTGAGAGTGTGGGGGATAAGGAGGCGGAGTTTTTGCTGTTTGATATGGGGCCTGAGGATGCGTAGAAGGGGGGGGGGGGAAGATGAGTAACGTTCTTTTTCATTTTATTGTATTGGAATTGTATAGCATTAATTTCATCATGAATCCAGTATGTAATCTTCTACCCTCAAAGCGATTTATCTTAAAACAACATCATGAGTAACTAGTCATTTCCAAATTCAGTGCTTACTTATGCCTTCACTACACCAACGACCGCAGCCACTGAAGAAACAACCCAAGTCAAGGTTGATAGTTCCAGCTGTGGCGTACAAAATCTGCATATCGTCAGTAAATCTGGACAAAGGATCCCAATTCCATGCTTTCTTGAACAATAAAAGAGAAAAAGTGACTTACTCCTCCGCCGAAATTCCCACAAACCCAATCCAAAACAGCCACTGCGCAATCCACAGCGAAAACGTACTCACAATCGCCAGAAGCGTGACTCTCACTATACTCCTCTTCGTCCGGCGCCCTCTTGAACTCTGGGTCGGCAACGTCCCGTACACAGCGTGAACATAACCCTCATTCTGCATGAGCGGCGTGTGTTCAAAATCCCAATCCCTATCGATCCAATACGCTGCTATTTTCTCCTCGATCCACATCCAGCGCTTTACAAACTGTTTTTTGAGCTGAGCCGCGAGATGAGTGTTCCGAGTGTGACTCCGGTGCGCAGGCGTTGCATCGAGGAGGACGATTAAGAAAGATATTACAGACAGGACGATTACGACGACCCACATGAGGGCGCCGGCGTACATGTACGTTGCTGCTGGTAGTTCAAGTAGTAAGGGAGTATTTGGGTTGTAGAAGCCGTGCTCGATGCCGTACGACACAGTGGAGATTATGGCGGGAGAGGAGAGAGCTTGCAGGAGGGTCTCGGATACGATGGCTGTGGCTACGGCGGAGAAGGTGGAGCGTTTGTAGGGCGAGGCGAGGACGAGGATAATGGTGAGCCAGGTCAGGCGTGGCATGGTGCACCAGAGGAGGGCGAGCTCCGTCATAGGGGTTTCCTCATAGGTGGGGGTTGATTGGATGAGCATGGCGTTGAGGGCGTTGGCGAGGAGGTAGAAGGCTGCTACGGCGATACCGCGCGGGAACCAGAGGATGCTGTTTAGGGGGTTTGTGGTTGGGTTGGAGGCTGGTTTTGGGCCGAAGACGGCGGTGAAGAGGGCGGCGAGGTTGATGAGGAGGAGACTCATACGTTTCCACTCGCTGGATGCACACGCTTGTTCGGATTGTGATGGGTCGATTTCTCCCGTGCTGATATTTGAAAGACCGAATGATTCAGTGTACCATGCCCATGGGATGGCATCGCGACGATTGACGCTAGCTAGTCGATGCCAGTCCTCTGGTAAACCATGCCAGTCATCCTCGGCGCCGCATAAGTCGTGAAGCCAGTGTACGTAGTCAATTCGGTTTTCGAAGACGTGGCAGGATCCTTTGCATGTGCCGTAGCTGATGTTGCGGCAGAAACATGATCTCTCTACTGCACGTTGGACATAGCAGTATCCGTCGTAGCCAACTCTGCAAGCATTAGTCGTGCACTGGTCCTTGAGCTGCATCACGCTATCTGGCATCGAATCGACGCACTGAGGCCACTTCCATATTTCCGTAGGAATGTAGTCGTGAGGAGTGGTTTTGAGTCCTTGCCTCCAGTTGGGGGGAAGTGAAGCAGATCCACAAGTAGCATGCATCCATAGCCGCTGCCTCGTCGAATCTACTCCGGGCCCTGCACAATCGCCTTCTGCAAGACTTGCATCGAATGTCTTGCAGAAACACTGCTTGTCAAAGTAATCATTGTCCGGGATAATGGCATGCGTCAGGTCGTATCCAGCAACCTCGGTATCAAGCGCGACCATTGTATGCTGTCCTTCATGATATTCCCACGGACGTTTAGCATACCCCGTATGTCTAGTGGAAGCCTCGAAACTGCAAGATGCCATGACTTGTCCAAATGGCTCCATTGATGAGGCAGATACCGACCCAGTCAGACATGTCGGCGCTTTGTCTGTGATACGAACGGCCGCGTATCCTTTGGTTAGCGAGGCTGGAGAAAGCCTTTGTAACCCGTTGGCATCGCCGACCTCAACAAGCCATGTACGATCCGTCGTTGTACGGATCCACTGGTACAGTTGTGCCTTTTTCAGAACCGAACGGCTACAGTATTCAATGTACTGTTCAAGAAATTGAGGAGAAAGCTCGGTGTTGAGACAGCTGAGCTGAGTGCGCCATTGGTGGCGGGTACAGATTACTCCAAAGTGTCGCATGCATTGCTTCTTTGTGCATTTTGTCATGGCATTTAGCCATGCTGGCTGGTCCTGCTCGGCGATGCACTGAGGCATGGGTGGCAAAGTCTCGGGGTAGACCCAGTCATGCTGAGTATCCAGTGGCGTTAATGATGGGGGCTCTTCGTCCGACACGAGTTGAGTAGGATGGAGAGGTATGTCTGTAGCCTTGCTTAGCGCCGGGATCAGACGAGGACCGGGGGATAATCACCTTGAAGCACATCCTCGCCCCAAGCAGTCGCCAACAATGCGAACAAGATTGTCGGAACCCTCATTATAAGAAGAAGTCCAGGTAATGAAGAATGAAAGAGTGGTGTGAAGAAAGCTGGATCAGCCTGGTGTTGTGAGTTGCGGGGTTGCAGTGCTGTGGCGCATTGGCGCTAAGGTCTGTGTAACCGCTACTTATCAACACACTGGTGATGAAAGTTTAACTGCCAATGCTATTTGATAAGCGCCAGCGAAAATGAACGGCTCTATAATCTCTGTAGAATCATATAGTGAGGATATTTATTCCAGGACAACGTCAGGGTATCTAGGTAGCATTTAACAGCACTTTGAACCAAGTATTCAGCAGCCTTTTCTACATTACCTTTTAGATGATAAGCACTAAATCGACTATCTGCACATACATACTTTCAACCTTCCGATTACTTACCAATACAAACACTCAACGTGAGATTCTCACCAGTTTCCTAAAGCAAGGTACACTACCAGACACCTCACAACTTACCCATCTTGTCTTCACCCAGTCGCCTCACCTCGCCTAGATCAACCTCGTGAAATTGATACTCGCTATGATGTCCACACCTCCCATCACAAAAGGACTTCTCAGACGACACACGAGCCTGCTGGTAATTACCTATCCTACCATCAGGGAACCTGTCACCCATGTATGGCGAGCTAGGTTCGGTAGGTGGCGTCGTCGGCTTGTAAGAGGGTTCGTTAATAGCCCTAGCAAAAGCAGCAGTGTTGGCCTCAATGTCTTTGGTGCACTTAATTGCACGCTGCCTGCTTCGCCGCTCGCGAACAGCGATAATAACGAGGAGGGCTATGACTGCCATACCTGTAATTACTACGACGGTGATCAAAGTAACCCTGTGCATGGTAAAATATACCTGAGTCTCAGACGAGTAGACGCCACGCTTAACTGAGGCGTGATGCTGAGATGTCGAGCAATTGGACATGGGTGCCATGTCGGAACGGTCTAAAATAATCTTTGGTGATCGGCAGGCAACGATGCTAGCGATCTCGGGGAGTAGTGGTACACGTGAAAGATCAGCGAGGTGTTTTACTAAAAGAAAAACAACTATGCAGGTGCGTTGAGGATTTTTTTTTAAACTGGATCTTCTATTTGTAGTAGTTCATGGGCAGCTGTATTGTGGGGAGACAATGTCGTTAACATGCATCGTAGGCCGACAATGCCCCAGCCTTCAAGCTATTTCCATGTGCGATGACCAGGAAGCCTAGACATAAGTGTTAGTGAACATGGAAACACGTTGTTAGAATTTTTTATTGGATGTTCATGAGATCGTCATGTTATAACACGAGGGGCGCAGCTTAAAACAAAGGTCATAATTGTTGAGCTGCAACCCCCGTGCGGCTGTAGTAGTGTACAACGCCAGTTATTGCATTGCCTCGAATTGACGATATGTCGCTCAGCAGCCCCTCCCCCCTTATTGCAGCGCATAGATCGTGATACAGTTATCCGCCTAGAGACTAAGGTACTGGGCCAAGTTACACGACTCAAGAAGCCGTTGTGGCAATAGCCCAATCAAGGGGGGATGGCGTAAGCATGAGCGAAAGGATTGTTGACCCAAGAGAGGGAAAAAGTGCGTGAGTGGGTGTGGGTGTGTGGGTGAATGCGGAGTGCATGATAGGATGACGCTAGCGGGGAGGTGCGTTATTGAAGCCGTCTGTCGCGGCTGAAACGCCCGGCACTGGACGCGCGGCGTTACGTCATAGGCTGGCTGCAGACCTCACATCATGCATGACAAGGCGCTGAAGACTGAACAAGTGAATGCACAAACGCTGGCATGCGCTGGACAATTGCGACATGCGACAGAGAAATTTCTCTTCCTGCAGCTGATACACCAAGGTAAGTAAGGAGTGATAGCATAGAAGACACGATTAGAAACTTGCATGGTTAAGGGAGGGAAATGAGGTTTGAATATTTCCATTGAAATGACTTGATATTATAATATAGACCGTCTGGATATACCCCAGTTTCGCCATGAACCCATTCTTATCCCTAATATCTCGTTTGTTTGAGACAAAGCGACGTCAGCTCTTGGCTGAGCATTGCTGGCCGATGGAAGAAGCTATCGGAGGGAAATATGATGCTGATGAAGATGATTTGCCGACAAAAAGACTTTGAATCCATCTAGTAGTACTTATAGGAGGCCGGCAAGAGCAAAGATACCAGCGGCAGCGGCACCCATGGCGGGGAGCGCGTTCTGGTTGGCAGCACCAGTCTCCTGGGGACTGCCAGTTGAGGAAGCACCAGAGGAAGCTGCAGAGCCGAGAGATGCTGTGGCGGAACTGAGAGCAGACTCAGCCTCGGAGCGGATAGATGAGGCAGCGGCGTTGGCGCTTGAGCGGATGCTGGAGGCGGCCGAGGCAGCGTCAGAGGGAAGGCCAGCAGCACCGGAGGTGATTCGGGAACCGATGCTGGAGGCGGCCGAGGGGACACTACCGCCAACGGAGGTGACACGGCTGGCAAGGCTCTCAACGTTGGATGCGACGTCAGAGGGAAGGTTGCCAACGGCAGAGGTGAGGGAGGCGATGACACTGTCAACCTGGGCGTTGGCAGCGCCGGCGGCGAAGAGAGCAGTGGCAATGTAGGTGAAACGCATCTTGATGGTGGATGGGGTGTGTGGTTGACAGTTGAGTCGAGGGGAATTGAATTAAGTATTGATGTTGAAGTGTGGGTATCTGGTGTGGAATGGAGAGTTCAAGCAAGACTGGGCGACGTGAAGGGCTCTTATACCAGCAGCGAGCCGTAGTACTAGCGCCATCCATCAATCAATCCCAGGCACAGCCCATCGGGGCAACAAACAGTGTGCTGGCCTGGCTACTACATTGAATGGACACTACGCACCGCCTCCTCCACTTTTTTCCCACAAGGCTAAAATTGGGAAAAGCGGCGGCGGGTGACGCCACATGTCGCGCTTCTTTGGTCTCCCCCAGCCTGTCGGAAGACAGCAACAACCGGACCCGTCTCCACTCTACTCTTGCTCCCACGGGCGGACGAGTTGCAAGTGAGCTGGGCGATCAATTCGTCCCTAGCTCATGACGTCGTCTAGGAGGCCAATACTACGTTCCTAATTTCCCTGTCCCATGTTGCAGCAAAGGTCCGCGGAAACGGGCTGTGTGATCGGATGGGCAGTCGTTGAACGCTCTCATGTCATTCTCGCGTCGTCGACTACCGGACTCCAAACACTGCCTCTCCTTACTTACTATGTAGAGTAAGATGCTATTTCCAGCACACAAAGCCTTGTTCGCGAGCTGAAACTCGCCCTGCCCCGAGCATAGTACTACGTCGTTGGGCCAAGCTTCCGCCCCATCAGCACCATCTCAAAGTCAAAGAAGGGACCCTGGTAACTCTCTACACCTAGTAATAGCCATACTAGCAGTAACTACTACTACCGCCCTTCTTTCTAACCCGTTCACTACTACATGCAGCCTTTGCTGGACACTGGGCTTGCAGTGGGAAACGCGATTCCAACGTCCCGTCGATCCACTTTGTTGTTAGGGCAACCCCCATTCAAGCCTTGGCCGTGCATCTCGGGCGCTCTGGAGCCCTTTCCAGCCCATGGACAAATGATGAAACGAGCATGTCGTCACATGTCCCCAACTTCACATCTTGATTCAGGTCACACACAGCAACGGCCGCCGGTCTCCTCTGAGAAGCAGCACCAAGCTGAGCCCAAGCTCACCTCAGCGGAAGGATTCAACGGCTAAGACAATGACGCACCGTAATGTGGAATAAATTGTGGCTCTGGGCGCCACACTAGCTCGTGGCGCGGGTATAAGGCAAAGACAAAAAAAGACGGGCTGTGCGATGATGCTGTGCTACGGGTGGTGTGTGTGTGCCTGGCCACCCACCCGCACCAAACCCCAGCCCTACGCCGATCTCGCCATCGACACCCCAACCCCTGTCGTTGGCCTAACCAGCCAAGCCCGTCTTTGCCGGCTACCTTGCCATAATCCCCAGTTCCTCATCCCACTGTTCACGCAATCACAACGCCTGCCTTGGTTTCCTCGTTTAGAAAACAGTTTGCTCTCTCCTGTCTACGTAACTATATCGCTAAATTAAATTATTCCCCGAAACGCGCCGCGTAGCCTCTGACATCATTCTCCCCTCATTCGCCCCCAACGCCTTTTCCCTTCGAGTCATTTTTCCACCTCGGCTTTTTTTTTTGCATCGCCTGCATACACCTACTACTACTACTAACAGCATTGACTTATTCCTTGCTTGCACTTGTTATCCCCAATCGCATTCTTCCGCAATACTTACTATGTAAATATGCATTACATTAATAGGCCCGAAAACGAGTCGGAAAATGCACAAGTTTGTACACGTAGTACCTAAGAGGCATTGTTGTTCAGGAGGGCCTACTAAATAGGGTAAGGGGAGACTATCGGTGTAGAGTACAGCGCAGGGCTTGGGCGCTACGGGGATATGAAGGCACTTAGCTATGCCGGACTGGGACCCTGGTGCGCGTTAGGTATTGGTTAGGTTGGCTTCCAGAAGGAGGGGAGAAATGTTGCTAGTATGCCGAAATAACTGACTACTGACATCACATGTTGTGCAGCTTTGAACTGGGCATGTGCATGTTCTCTTGGAATGCGTGTGTGTGTGTGTGTGTGTGTGTGTGTGTGTGTGTGTGTGTGTGTGTGTGTGTGTGTCAAACCGGGTTTGCTTTTCCCTCTTGATTATTCTCGGCGGAACACAACATCGTACACGCATTACTATATGCTTGTGTTGCTGCTAACATTTCACACCCCGTCACTCTGACCAGCCGTAAGTTTCGAAGTAGTAGTAGTATCAAGTCGCCAGCCACGTTTTTTACTATATCCAATATATACACACCTCAGCAACCCCTAACAAAATATCTACAGTGAAGTTAACTCCCCCATACTAAACCCATCTACCCCATCCGATCATCCCACACACACTCCACATCCCCCCTCTCTTCCCCCTTCCACACACTCCCAGGCATATTCTGCGCTGCAACTGCACTTCGAATCCGCGTCCCCAGCTCCGGCAGTCCAGAGCCCACAACCTGCGTCAGCCCGCTTTCCACCGTCTCGCTCATGAAATTGGAGACCAGAGACGCTACATCCGGGCGCGCATTGCTTAGCCACGTGACGCTGAAATCCGGGCATTCGCGCTTTAGTTCGTCAATTTGGCGGTCGAGATCCATGGATTCGATGGAAGACACTGGCTCTAGCGCTGCGCCATCGTCGTAGTCTTTGTCTTTGCCTTTGCCGCTGTCGAGCTGGGGTGAGGCCTCTTGCTTGGTAGTCTCGGGTCTGGTGACAAAGATGCGGATGCGGAAGCGCTTGTTTGAGCTTACGGATACGACTGGGGTGTCGTCTTTCTTCTCGATGTCGCTGCTGCTAGAACTGGTTGCTTCATCGCTCTGGTAGAGCTGGGATTTTAGATATGCAAGTTCGGGTGCGATCCAAGCGAGGTTCTCAATGTGGCGGATGGTCCAGATGAGCTCGATGTTGCGAGCGGGTGAGGAGGAGGAGAGTGCGTTCATGATGACGGGGAGAGTGTAGGTGATTCCTGTGCCGCCGGAGATGGCAAGGATGTTGGACGCTTCGTTGTTGATGACGGAGCTGCCGTATGGACCCATCATGATGACAGGGGTAGATGCTTGCATGCGCGGATAGCAGTTTTCAGCAGCATTGGCAAGAGCAGCGAGTTTGGCGGTCTCGCCGTTGCAGGCGCGGATGATGTATGTATGGCGCTGTAGGGGAGAAGAGCTATTTGGGTTCGAACCTGGTGTGAAGGGATGCGACTGCCACATGTTGAGTGCAGGAAAGGTAAGGTAAAAGTGTTGGCCAACTGCCCAAGGGCTATGCTTGTGGTAAAATGTCATGCGAACAATAGTGCCCGTGGGATCTTTGAAGGTATCCATGATTGCTGGAGCCGAGCGGAAGCCAAACCAACCATCCCTTTCTTTATAACCAGTGTGGATGAGAAAGGTGCGAACACTCCGGGCAACCAAGTCGAACCCCATAATGGAAAACGATGCGATCATCCAGCACGAAAGCTTCTCCCAGTGGCCCCAGCAGGCTCCAATGTAAAGGATGGAGACAAGGAGATGCGACTTGCGGAAGAACTCGTATCCCGTCCAGCGGATCACGGGTCGGAGGCTGAAGACGAATAAGAACGTGATGAAGGCTTGTGCAATGCAGCCCCAGACCATGTACTCTTGGTTGATGAACTTGGCATAGACAGTAGGTTGTGGTTGGTAAAGCTTTGCTTCGATAATAGTCCAGATGATGGCATGAACGAATGACTGGACAAGAATGATGCGGCCTGTCCAACGGTGCAAAAAGTTGAAACTCTGGTAGGGAATGCCTGTGACCATGCTGAGGATCGAGTCGCGGCTGCACAAGGCAATGGTCAACGGAGTGAGGGCAAAGGCAAAGGCACCAATACGGTCGGCAAACCCACCCATACCGGTGCGAGTATTGTGCAAGCTGCTATCCTTGATTGGCGTAATCCATGTCTTGTATGTGATGCCAGCAAAAGAAAAGGCTGTGAGGTAGGCGCAAAGCAAGGCAAGGATCAATACCTGCAGCCTTGTAGTATACCTGAATACTTTCGAGCACTCGGGCAATAGGTGTTTGCGAACAGCCGATGATGCCAGTCTTGTAAGGCGATATACAAAGCTCTGTCTTGGGCCGTTCTGTTTCTGTGGGCGCGCTAATCGAAACACAATGAACAAGAGGAGGATGAGGCCAATAACAGCCCACATGACAAAGGTGAAGATCATGGATGTTTCATGGTCGCCATAAACGGAATCCAGATATTCACAGGTTCCTTTGTCGTTGGTGCATGGCATTTTTCGCACCGCATAGCCCCAGTAATCGATTGTATACTGGACATTGTCATCGGACTGGATGTGACGAGCGGCCAGCGGGTGGGAAGTCGAATTGAAGAACATGGCAACAAGCATGTGCAGCGCTGCTGCAAGAAAAAAAGACAAAAAAGTATGGGTACAAGAGAAGAAAATTGAGGGAGTCGCAAGAATCCGGCATTGCGATTACTTGAATGAAGACGATTTAAGGTCCCAAGACCATTGGCAAATTTCTAGTTCCCACAGTAGTACTACAGTATATTACAGTGCGTTCATGTTTGATGTTTGACAGGATTTTGTTGCAGCTGTCAGGTTCCTTCGAGCGAAGTGTCCAATCGTAGCATTTTGATTGATGAAGCCGAAACGAGGCTGTACCCACATACCCACCAGCGAGGGACCGCTCGTTTTGATGGCCGGATTCAGTATCCGGGACGGCCTCTTGGTAAGTCTCGACGGCCGGATAATAACTGGTACTACCATAACGGTACTACTATATAATAATGCCAACACCAAACACCTCTTGGCTATATATAACTCGGGCGAAGAGATGATGCCATCGATGATAAGAATTTTCGAATTCTTCACGGGATTGAAAATGCTGACTCTGGTGCGATTAGCGGTGACTTGGGTCAATGCCGGAGTTATTTCAATCCACAAGGAGACGGTGTTGATATAAGCAGCGCACTGCAGGACACGTGCTAGTACGAAGTTGCGATGGATCGAGGATGTTTGTGATGCTGGGCAGCGCTAGGGTATCACGTGAGAAACATCACGTGTACATTATTGTATCACGTGAGTAGCGTCACACGTGCGGTGCCCCAAATGGCGGTCGAGTTCATGGAAATTGCCTCGGGCGGGTTGCGGCGC